AAATTTCTATAATATTATTTATCTAAGAACCTAGAGGAATAGTTCTTAGAATTCTAGAGACTTCACTCTTCAGGAGAAAAGCAAAATTAATATTTCCCAAGAAAATGGGTTGGGTGGTGGAAGTAGGTGGAGAAAGGATGGGAGGGGGATGGACAGGGGAAAGGAGGGGTGGTGGATTTTCAGTGTTTTTCGACGATGAACTTACACTTTTAGAAATAAAAATTTTAGATTTATATGTAATGTGGGAAAAATAAAATAGGTCTCATGGGATGTGAAGAAGATAAAGGTTCTACAACAAACATTTTTATGCATCTTTTTAATTCGCACCGATTTTTGACATCCTTTATGTTTGATTGTATCTTTTACTCTTTTTAATCGTTTTAGTCTTTTCTTTGTAAAGTTTTCTTTGCTTTCTTCGAATTTAAACATTGGTTCTTGTGATAAAAATCTTCAATTAAATTCTGTTTAAAATTCGAAATAAGATTGATAGTTGAAAGCTTAGAAAAGTGTCGTTTATTTTCATACCATATTTTGGGGAAATATTGAGGAGGAAGCAGTCCAAGTTTAATATATTTTACTCTAGGAATATAAAAATCAAGAAGGTGGGATAAAGGGGGAAGGGAGTGGGATAAAGGGGGAAGGGGAGGGGGTGGTAGAAAGAGTGTAATAAATATCGGGTGACAAGATATTCTGGAAACCTACAGTACCTGGTTCATTATTAACTATCTATGTTTGTAAATCTATTTGTAAAACCTATTATTCATTTGAATTGTGTTTCAAATAAATACGTAGCAGGATTAGCTTAATCATGTGATATATATGATGACGTACATCTTAACTGCACCTATATCAACTATGCTATATACGAATCATGATTGCCTTAATTACGTTTATGAACTTTAACTTGTAAGATATAAACCTCAAATACACTAGTTGATTTAGAGACTTTGCTTCGATTACAATGTTGAGAGTAATTTGGTTTCATTGAAACATACAAATTGAGATCGTTGCCTTGAGATTTGGCTTGATCGATTGATTGCTGGTGTCCGTGTTGACATCAATAGCTAATGAGATCGCGCCCAGTGGTTGACATTGGTAGTCAAGAGAATCTGAGTTGTACCTGGATAGATACGCGTTCGAGAAACTGTTATGGAGTAGGCATTTACAACAGGAGAGCTGGGAGTGTTGTGCTTAGAGGAAGGGAGAATGGATTGAAGGGCAGCTGCTAACTAAGCGGCGAAATAATGAAAATGCAACACTTCTCCAGTGGGAACAATAACGTTATCTTCAACATTTTTGATCAGGGTAAGGTTTCAAGAATACTGTTGTAAATGGGGCATTGTCATCTTTGCTATGAGGGTCACTTAAAATTACGCTTACAGTCCCTTAGCAGAAAATTATGCCTCGAGAGGATGCATTTTATATTTCCGAAGCCTAGAAATGAAAAATATTATATATATTCTCCCTCCCCTGGTTTATTAAGACTGATCTAAGTACTAAATTATAATCTAGAAAATAATTGTGAAAACTAGGTTTCTACATTTTTATATTAGTTAAGTAAAGAGGGTGTCTCAATAAACATGAGAATCTATAGACGAATTAAAAATCGTCTTCGATTTTCAAAAGTAATTGTATAGCTCGGAATGTTTATTAAAAGGTCGCAGATGTCAGGCTTATCAAATGGGCAATTAAATAATTAAATTTATTGACCGATTTGATAGGTACTAAAATGGTAGACCACATTTCAGATATCCCAAAACAGTCTTCTTTGTAAACTTCACTGTCACACAGACACTCCCATATTTATTTCACACCCTGTATATGCAATTATTATGCAATGCATTATTGCATAATTGCAACCCTGACACACTTTATTTATCATTTCCCTAAAATTTTCCATCACAAATTTCTTTTAGACTGTTTTTAAACTTTAAAAGTTTTTTATCATGAATATTTTTTTTTGTAATTTTTAACATTCTTTTCGTAATTTATGCCATTTGCCATTTTTTTTTAAATTTTATTTTAGTTCTATGAGATTCTTTCTTAAATCATGATATAAGGATTGCACCGGTTTCGGTTTTTTTTCAGTAGGTTGAATACATAGGATGTAGAGTAAAATTTTTCCCCGAAAATTCGAGTTTACAGTGACCAAAAAGGGCATGCTCTCAAAAAATTGATGAAAATTTTGCCAATTACTTTCTAAAGCTTAAAACAAGTACTTTATAGTTCTAAAATGTACATGTCTAGGACTATAAAAAGAACAAGTAAGTTAGTGATCTAAAATCAAAGGCCAAGGCGCTGCGACAGTTTAAAGTTGACCCAGTCTTGAAGTTTGATGCAACTTTTTATAGCGGTCTGGATCTATGTGCAGGGTGGGGGGCGCAGAAAAGTGGAATTAAGAGGATGGGGAGGGGGGGAAAGAGATTCGTGAAGAAATTGAGTAAAGAAAGTTTATCTCCAAACAATCTTTTAATTTGCTACTTGAGAAGAAAAATCAAAAGTTTGAAACATTTTTCATTTAACATTTGAAACTATTATCAAAATAAATTCCTACAAAGTTTGAAACAATAAATGCAATTCAAAGAGAAAATATTTCTTTAAATTTCATCTTTCGAAACCATGCAACCAATGACAAACAATTATTTGATAAAGACGGGGGAATATGTAAATTTGTTTTGAAAATATTTGAAAGAAAATATAGTTTGTTTTGAAGTTTACACCACACTTCCACGGATTATCGGAACAAAATTCTTATTAAATGAAAAAAGTATTCACACATTCTGTAATGATTAATTGATAAATTAATATTTAATAAATCATAAATTAATGTTAAATAAATGATTAAATATTGTTTAATTAATTGATTAAAATGGTTAATTACTTGATTAATGGTTCATAAATTGATTAATGTTTAATTAATTATTTAATGTTCAATAGATTAATTAATCAGTGTTAACTAAAGACATATATAACTTGAACTTGAATAGTTTAATTACAAACTGANAGGAGTTAGTTTAGTCAATAAGAGTAGTACTAAGGAGTTAGTTTAGACAATAAGAGTAGTACTAAGGAGTTAGTTTAGTCAATAAGAGTAGTACTAAGGAGTTAGTTTAGTCAATAAGAGTAGAACTAAGGAGTTAGTTTAGTCAATAATAGTAGAACTAAGGAGTCAGTTTAGACAATAAGAATAGTACTAAGGAGTTAGTTTAGTCAATAAGAGTAGTACTAAGGAGTTAGTTTCGACAATAAGAGTAGTACTAAGGAGTTTGTTTAGTCAATGAGAGTAGTACTAAGGAGTTAGTTTAGACAATAAGAGTAGTACTAAGGAGTTAGTTTAGTCAGTAAGAGTAGTACTAAGAAGTTAGTTTAGTCAATAATAGTAGAACTAAGGAGTTAGTTTAGTCAATAAGAGTAGAACTAAGGAGTTAGTTTAGACAATAAGAGTAGTACTAAGGAGTTAGTTTAGACAATAAGAGTAGAAGTTAAGAGTTATTTTAGTCAAGAAGAGTAAAACTAAGGAGTTATTTGAATCAATAAAAGTAGAACTGAGGAGCTATTTTTAGTCAGTAAGTGTAGAATTTAGGAGTTCTTTTAGTCAATAAGAGTAGAACAAAAGCGTTATTATTTTAGTCAATAAGAGTAGAATTAAGGAGTTATTTTAGTCAATAAGAGTAGTACTGAGGAGTTAGTTTAGTCAATAAGAGTAGAATTAAGGAGTTAGTTTAGACAATAAGAGTAGAACTAAGGAGTTAGTTTAGACAATAAGAGTAGAACTAAAGAGTTAGTTTAGACAATAAGAGTAGAAGTTAAGAGTTATTTTAGTCAAGAAGAGTAAAACTAAGGAGTTATTTGAATCAATAAAAGTAGAACTAGGAGGAGCTATTTTTAGTCAGTAAGTGTAGAATTTAGGAGTTCTTTTAGTCAATAAGAGTAGAATTAAGGAGTTATTTTAGTCAATAAGAGTAGTACTGAGGAGTTAGTTTAGTCAATAAGAGTAGAATTAAAGAGTTAGTTTAGACAATAAGAGTAGAACTAAGGAGTTAGTTTAGACAATAAGAGTAGAACTAAGGAGTTAGTTAATACAATAAGAGTAGAACTAAAGAGTTAGTTTAGACAATAAGAGACCTACTTTTTTGCCACAGACTTTGTATTTTTTATCCCTATATATTTCTAATTATAAATTCCGTTGAGCCAAAAAATCTAGGTTTTACAAATCAAAGGTTTACACTATCAGGTTGCAAAAATGATTGGGATTTGAGAAAATTTGAGTTTGTTATTTTCTTAAATTATATGAATATAAGCTTTGTACAATGTATTAATACTGGGACAGTTTTATAATTTTAAATAATGTAAACATGATTTTTAAAAAATATATTTTCAAATAGACGGATACAATCTACAATCTACAGGGTTATCCACAAAGGATGAGACTGTAAAGACGACCTTAAACTTTTTTACAAAGGATAATTCCAAGAATAAAGTTTACTGCCTTGATTATAATTATAAAAGGGAGTGGCCTGCAATCTATGGTAGTTGAACTGAGAATGTAGTATTGTGGAGAAACATTTTAGGAATCATTTGAGACCTATAAGAAGTTTTTACGGTGCATATTTGTTAAGCAAGAGCGCAAATTCAATCTTTAAAATCCTCATAGATTGTTCATTTTTGAGGAATGATTTGGAGAATTGGTTTTAAAAAAGTTATTCAATAACGACGACAAAAAATGTAGTAACAATTTTACAGTAAACTAATTAGTGGTTTAGGAACAGGTTCGGGAACAGGTTGAGAAAATAAAATTTTACTATTATCATCGAAAATAAGTAATATAATTCAGTTATTGGTTTCTGTAATGTCACATTGTTCACAAACGTTTTCTATATATTTTCTGGAATTTTTGCTGAAAAGACGACATTTGAAGAATTTGAAGAAAACTGCAAACAAATTTATAAAGGATAAGAAATTCAAAATAATGATGAAAAGAAATTATTGATTTTAACATTGATTTTATTGAGAAAATTTCAATTAAGAAATATGTCCCTTAAAATCTAATTAGTTTCCTGTATTTCTACATTTTTGTCGTCGTTATTTAATGATTTAAAAAAATAGATTCTTAAAACGTTATCACACAAATGGATGATTTGGAACACCGAATTTGTAGGGCTGGGCACGTTCCAACTTTTTTAAGCCTTTGCAGTTCCAACTATTCAAAAAAATCTCCGGTAGCCGTTAGAATTAAAGGGTAAGAACAAAACTTTGTTTTTATATTTTCCGTTTTTTTAGTTAGCGATCTCAATTTTATTAACGGGCTTAACAGAAAATTTTCAACAACCGTTAACAGCTCCAGCCAAATTAAAGGTGTTAAAGTCGCAAAGCGCAGAACAAAATTTTTGTTAACGGTTTCTAAAATCCTAATGGTTGTGACGTAAGACGAAATTTAAAAACCTTAAAATATGTTAAAAAAATTTTACAAGTTCCATGGAATTTTAGCAGAAAAAAAATTCACCGTTATAAAAAAAATCTGCTTTGTTTTCATTTGCAACTGTTAATTTTGTTTTCACAAACAGCTAATTCCTTTTGTTAACGATTAAATTTTCGAAAACCTCCGCTTCGTTAATGGAACTTTGCCCAGCTCTATGACTTTGCACTCAGACTCACTAATTATAGATTATTAAAACGATTTATAAACAATTTTTCCACAAAACTACATTCTCAGTTCAACTACCATACATTGTCGGTCACTCCCTTTAAGTGGCTAATTTAATCATTTGGCAAAGAAGCCAACAAGTTTACAATTGCAGAGAACTATGAATATAAGAAAACACACAATAAAAATTCTGTACAGTCGTCTTTGAAGTCTAAGTCTGTGTATGTAAAACCCTGTATTTAATAAATTTAACAGTGCTGAACAAGATAGTTAAAGCTTTGATTAAAGTGCAATTAAACAGATGAAACCATGGAATATATACCAGAAACCCCATACTTTGTTTACAACGATAATGTACTGCTGTTTCTGGAAGGAGCACAAGAAAATAGAATATGATTTTCTACCCCTCGTTCATTTGTGTACAACTGGAGTACACGACCAAATAGCAGACATTTACTCTCAGGGATATTAAAGGATCCTTTAGATGCGAAATACTAAACCTTAAAAAATGGATTTTTGTCTTATGTTAAAGAGTATTTCTTTAAAAATTAAAAACTTCACCCATGAATGCCAATGGGTATTATATGCAACTTAAGTGGCGGTTAGATGGCAGTCATAAAACTTGCTGTAGAAATAAAGCATGCTATGACGGTAGGACTATAGGCCTACTTAATCCAGCCGTGAAAGCTGATGAGCAGTCTGTTTATATCTAGTCTGTGGTTCCCGGTTATACTTCCTTATATGCAAACAATCAATAATAAATTTAAAATTCACGAATTACAGTTTGTAACAATGCTAAAAGTTGGAAAGTTCGTATCTTCTCAGATTTGACCCATTTCTATGATATGCTGGGTTAGAAATCGATATCCCTCGATCAGACCTGAAAAAAATTGATTTTGAATTTGAGATTCTTCAAATCTGGTTTTATTCCGTGGCTGCAATAATTCATAGAATTCATTAATTCTTTTCTTGTGTTTATGAATAGGAATATGGAAAAGAAAAAAACTATTAAAAACTTTTCTTTTTATTACCCAAAACCAATAAAAGAATGAAAGATACCAGCAAAATTTAATGTTTGTAACACAAATTATTCATCTTATAAGCATTTTTTAGACAGTGATCTGCGTGTTTTTTTTTAGTTCGTTTGTTCATCGTTTGTGAACGACCCATTTCGCTCTTTTTTTCAAACAAATTGATTTCGGTCGTTCTCAAATTAGTGTTCATTTCCATCTTTTCTTTTGTTTTCTCTGTATAATAAAATTGTTCTCTCGGTAGAAAAAAGATCGTATTTTTCACAAGTTTGTTAGAAAAGAACATCATTAAGAAACTATCTTTTAATAAAGTGTTGTTAAAAAACCTTTCATTTAGTAAAAACGAAAAAAAATTCAAAATCTTTAAGAAAATTGATTTGTTTAGAAGAATCCTTTAAGCTTGTTCGGACAAAAGATTAAGAAATCGTTCATCAACAAACACGATTGTTGGAACGACTTTAAATCATTTCTATGAATGATCTGAGTCAATCGTCAATCTTTTTATTCTGAACGACACCATAGTTCATAAAATTTCTTTCCTTCTCAAAAATTTCCTTTCGTTTTCAAAACAATGCACATCTCTATCTGTACCTTCTATCTAGGTATTCGGATGAGCCTTGGTCTGAGTCACTTTCTAACTGGTTTTGAGAGAACTTCTCCTGACCACTCATTGGTGGAAACATTGTCTGCTTGGAACTAACATGTCTGATTGGTTGATCGAGATCACATGGCAACATAGGAATGTCTCTATTGGCAGAACTCACAGCTATCTCAGATGTCTTGGTTATATCGGGTCTACAGAAAGTAAATGATATAAATCAAAGTTAATTGCATTTTATAAAGAAAAAAGTCAGAGATATTCATATTAATGAAAAGAAGGAGGATTAAGGAGGGATAAAGTCAAGCGATTTTTACACCGGAAGTGTTACGAAAGGAAATCCGTTCACACTGAACTGAAAAAGTAAAAGAGAATATAGAAAAAAACAAAATTATGTTAATTCAAATTTTCTGAAGTTTTAAATGCATCTTTGTAAACATTATTACCACATGAAAATAGAAGAACAGTGTGTTACCCCCTCAATTTGATTAATAAATTGTGTTTCTTAACATTAGGGCACAAGATTATTACACCCCACCTAGGAAAGAAAACTGCATTTCTGATATAACATTTACTATCCTCTGAGCAACTTGGCTGTAATGGCCGTTTGTGGGATTATGATGCGGGCCGTATCTGTTTATATTAAACACATTTGTGTTAGTCTGTGTTATTGCCCGTTTCACGAGTTCAGTGTGCTTTATATTGACTTTACTCTCTAGCTTCTTGTATCTCCAAACAAACTCAATGACAGAAATTGCACAAGCAAGCCCCATTCCTGCCAAGAGAACAACAAAAACTCCACCAACGTTGTCTAGACCAAGCTCATTTGCGGATTTCTTTGCATTATCCTAAAATCAAATAATATTTTATGTTTTTTAAAAATTAAATTCAATTAACTACATTCTGTTTTGTAAGGGCATAGGTTTTTCTATTTGACCGAAGTTACTCTGAAACTAACCCTGCAAATAAGGGGGAGATGTAGTTATCTTTAGTAAATGTAATTAAAAGAAATGTAGTTTTGCCGCCAAAAGGTATTTTACCAAGTCCACTTGGAGAATTAAGAGTAATCTTATAAAAATTATAACTTTTTCCTTTTCCAGAAATTATTAGAAGAACCCTTAAAACCTAACCACTCTAGAAATATAGTCTTCTTAAGCTTGGAAACCCTATATGCGCTTTAAATATAGAAATTTCTCTTTCTCAATTCCTGTTAATCTGGTAAAGTAATGATACCAATAAATATCTTCATTTTATTTAAATTCCAGTTTAAATTAAGATAAAGACCTGGCATTGCCCTCCTCCTCTCCGCTCCTTCCACCATCTTGTTTTTAACTCATGAAGACGACCTGCTTCCTGCAGCTGAAGGATAGCGCTTGAAATTGGAACACGGAACGGGGAACCTTGAATTTTGAAGAGTCAAATCATAAAAATAAAAATAAATAAAACTTTGCTACAATAAAAAACTTTATATCATTTCATACTTCTAATAAAAGCCAACAATTCTTTGAAGCAATGTATTATTTTTCCTAATAAACTAAATACCTGGTGTAAATGCAATTCCGTATCCCTTGGAGTCCAGGAGTCCTCCTATTTGAATAAGCTCACAGTTTCTCTCTATTTGATATTGAATAGAATTGGATTCCATTAGAAAAGCATATTGTCCGTCTGACTCCATAACCCTGGATACTCCTTCGTTATTACTTTTTGTAAAAACTGCAGGCTTCTGTGACTCCATGAAAGCAGACATCCTTGCATAAGTTGGAATCTTTGAATCCTAAATAATGAGTTTATGATATTGCATTACAGACTTTATCAGGGATATACATAACTACAGTTGGCCAACTTTATTCAAATTTTGGAAACTTTAAAGATTCTCAACACTGTGTGGTGTATTTAGGGCTGGGGAACAAAAGTTTTTTTTTTCAACAATTAACGAACAGAATTTCATTAACGACTACATTGTTTGAAAATTAACGAAATCACATGCTAACATGAAACAAACCGGGGTTTTTTACATTCAACATCATAAAAGAAAAACATCAGTAGCAATTACACATCATTCACAATGAACTATTGTTGATGATATAAAATCCTTTGATCAAGATTAACAAATGTAAAATATAGAAAAAGTGAAACAACATTTTTTTGGGGATGATTTGGAAAAGAACTAACTCCTCCAGAGATGGAATTTAAAGAATTTGAGCCGCGGTTTAAATCCGCCAAAACCCGGTTTAAATTCAGCGCCGGCTTAAATCTTGAAACATTTGATACAATTTTAAGTGGAACCAACCATATTTAAACCACGGCTTAAATTTAAACCGCCGCTCAAATTCTTTAAATTCGGCCACTGAACGATTTTTTCAAGTCGTTAGTTTGTTTCTGTCAGAGTTCAAACTGAATTCCAGTAAAAAACTTATCGAAAATTGTATTGTGAATTACAAAAGACATCACAGATTTTTGTGAAGTCTTTTAAACGTCAAAACTCAAAATCCTTGAATATCTTAAAAAACTTATAATACGATGCCAAAATATACTGAATGCACTTGTTATTAAATCTGAGCCAAGAAGATTTAAAAATCAAGAATATGATTAGCCCTAGTAAATTTACCCTGAAGAAAGCTCTTGTAGATCCAGACTCCAAGCAGCCATATTTAATTTTAGTTTGCTTTGCAAGATCATCAGCTGATTCTATTGGGGATTCCATCCGCTCAACTACAACAAGAACAGGGTTGGGAATTTATGAATAAGGTGAATAAGTTAAACTTCTCATGGCTAATTTAATTTTTTTCTTGTGCGCTGAGCTCAAACCAAACCAATTCTGTTGATCTTTGTTGCAAAAGAAAAGTGTTGATACTTTTTATTTATTTAAAAATAGCTGAATTAAAAAGAGGAAACATGCATTTAAAACTATTTTTTTTCTCGTAAAGCCGAAATATAAAAATCAAATCAAGAATTTTAGTTGTTAGCGCGGTCTTCCCTTAGAGTAAAATAAAAGATTAAATGGATTAAAGTTTGCAAATAAAGTTTAAGAAATTTTTTTTACGTTACAAATATTTTCTACTATCTTTTGGTTCCGGATCATTAAACTTTAATATCTGAGGCCAAAATAAAAGAATTTAAACCACGTCGCTGATTCGTCAAAAACCGGTTCCAATTGAGCACCGACTTAAATCTAGAAACACTGAATACAATTTCAAGTGGAACCAACCATGTTTGAACCGCGTCTTATATTTGAGTCAGGGCTTAAATTCTTTAAATTCGGCTTCTGATCAGTTTCTTTGCAAACAATTGGTGAAGCTGAAAATAATTATTTTTGTTGGGCAGAGTTTATAAACTCTAAGCCTGAGCTAGAAATGAAATCATATTAAACTTTTATAAATCCTAGGTTTCTTCAATTTTACAAATTTTACAAATTTGAGAAATATATTTTCCAAGCTTTATATGAATTAGACAGATTATTTTAAAATGCTTGAAAGGTATCAAACCGTCACAACTGCTATTAATTCTGTATAGAAAGCTAGTGCATAAGGTAAAATTTTGGAAGGAATTTATTACTCATCTTTAACTCTTATTTTCTTATCACTATATCTCGGCAACCTTACAACGCAAAGCTTTTATAATTTAAAAATTGACTGAATGATCTAGCAGAAATTGTAGTTTGAAATCTACTAAATTGGGTTCCATAGAATTGGAAAATTAGGGAGGAGTAGAGATGGACATCGTTTTTGTAAACAAAGAAACTTTTGTGAACGAAACAACTTTTTGTGAATGATGGTGTCATTCACAAAAAAAATGAGAAATGAAAAAACGATCGTCTTTAAAAATACGAACAAAAAACATAAATTTATTTTAAAAGTATGATATTTTGAAAAGGAAATAAGCCAAACATGCCCATCTCTAATGAGGGAGAGCCGTAATCAATTTCTAAGGTTTAATTTTGACACAGAGACTTTCTTGGCTATTTCTTCTTTACATTGACTTGACATTCTTTAAAGGAACTGTTTGCGTAATTTCAAGAAGCCCTCCACCAAACATGAAAATGACCGATTAACAACGGTACCATTGATCAAGTATTTAATCAGATTAAGGCTACCGTTTTATAAGTAAATCGTCATATTTGCATAGATTTTCACTTAAAATTAAGCTTACAGTCCATTTAAATGATACGATGCAACAGGGATTTTTTTCTAGGTGGGAATGGGTTGGATAGAGGGGAGGGGGTCAAAAATCAATGTTTACCTGTCAGAAAAGCTGCAAGGTTAGCAGTATAAGAACTAATCATAATCAATGTAAAGAACCACCACATTCCAGCAACCATTCGGGTTGATATAGCCCTGAAATAAAACCAGATATAGCCCTGGAATAGAACCAGATTTATAACCTTGAAATAAGACAAGATATAAGCCCTGAAATAGGAATAGTAAATAATGGAACTGATGTATCTCCTCATGCGTGTCTCGATGCAACCTGATTTCATAGACAATATTTAAAACCATAAATTCTGTTGGATTGAAAAGAAAAAGCTAAAAATGGCAAAAAGAGATTTTAAAATAAGGAAAATTGAGAAATCGGAAATAATAATTGAAATAAGAAGAAAATAAAAAAGTTTGAAATAAGAAATTGATACCAATAGTTTGAAAAAGTAACAAAAACAAACCTGTTCTACAATATTGCCAATAAAACTTTAACGGCTTTATCCAGTTGAATTCCAATACAAAGAAACATTATGGATAGAGAAAGAAATAATGAAAATTTAATTTTGTGTTGAAACCTACTCAAATATGAAACTCGGCTTAGACACTTTTTGAAAATTTCCTTTGAAAAAATTACTTTTTATAATATCAAAAAAAAACAACTTAGGAATTGCAAGTCTTTGCCACAAACTCAATTTTTTAAATCTCTATATCTTTGCAACATTGTGGTGTAAACCTTTTATATTACAAACTTATATTATTTGCTCTAACAGAATTCATAGTTTGAAATATCTAAGGGTTAGCTAGATTCCTTTTACAGTTAAACATATTTATATTACTAGAAATTCAAGGCGCTTCGCGCCCTTCTTTCTAGACTTTTCGCGCCCATCTTCTATTTAAATTGTGAACATGTTCTTTTTGTTTACATTTAAAAACAAAGAAGAAAAAATTTTGCGGATTTTTAAAAAAAAAAAATTGAATTTATGATACATTCATCTTATTTTTTAAAATCATGATTTTGAAAAAAAAATACAGCCTTTAAACCCTTCTTTAATCTACCCCTTTTTTTGATAAATTTATCATTGGCTCGAGTGTTTGGGTTGCTTGTTGGTTCCTAATTAATGTGTTAACACCCCAGGAAAGGTTAAAATTCAATTGTTTTGCCTTAAAAAAGTTTGATTATAAAAAAGGAAATCCACCAACGAAAAACTAAAATCTGCGAAATCATACATTAGAATTTTGTTTTCTACTGTACAAAGAAAAACTACAAGTAACATTTTTCATATAAAGCTATTTCAAGAAAGAGGAAGAGGAGAGGGGATAAAATATACAAAGTATATTAAACTTTATCATAGATAAAACAAATTTTAGTTTGAGAGAGAGTTAAAATTCAAATTGTGAAATAAAAGTAGGTTAAAAGAGGGATATTACGAATGAATTATAATAATTAAAGTATATGCCTTGAATTCACATTACTTACAGATTATGCAAATATATTTCCCTCTATCTGCAGGCTCAGAATAGGATCAGGGAATAGGCAATCCTACCCCGCAAATTGCACAAATTAGAATATAAGAATGTACAGGGTTTAACAGATTGTTACATAGGATCAATTTACACATTAGTTGAAAATTTTGCTTCTTCATAAAAAAATCCACATCTGCTAATATTTTGTATTACAAAGTTTACCCATGAAAAGGTTGTGGAAATATTTTCGTTTTTTGGTATCAATTTCTATAGAAAAAAAAGGCTTTTGTGAACATTTTTGAATCTGACAAAGTTTAAAATATACCGTTCTTAAACAGGCCCGAATAGCCGGTCAGTTGAGATAGCTTGGCTATTTATTTACATTATATCGTTTTAGACGAACATCGGCATTTTGTCTGCAATCTTTTCTCCGTAAAAAGTGTGACTGTCTTTCATTGAAAAGGCTGATTTTTTTTTATAGAAATATGAAAAATTGTGAAAACTTACTTAGGTGATATATCGCTTCCTTGTTGCATGAGGGATCCTATGGTGAACCACATAGAGTTACATAAACTAAACTCATTGACTAGAACTTCCGGTTCCTCAGTACAAGGATGCGGGTTATCCCACTCATACGGACTAAACCTAAAAAAATAAAACCTATACTTATAGATTGTAACAGATACAGCTCCGGGGGCTAAATCAACGGAACAATTTACAATCCGAGCTATATCGATGAGAATTATTCCAATCACTTCTTAAAACCCAAAGCTAATAACAACTGCTGTATTGCTGAATGTACATGTAAAGGGCTACAGAAGAGCATAAGTGAGTTAGAACGGTAAAATCTAAACCCTAGACGTTGCGACACTTCAAAGACAACCCTGTCTTAAAAATTGATACGACATGTTTATAAGCAGACTGAATCTGTGTGATAGCGTTCACATGGTTCTGGTTCCAATAAACAACCTATTTATATTATAATGGTTTGCTTTAACTTTAGTTACTGGGAAATATATGGAGACCCAGCGTTCCGGATAATGAAATGCCACACAAAAGTTCCGGATTATGAAATGCCACACAAAAGTTCCGGATAATGAAATGCCACACAAAAGTTCTGGATAATGAAATGCCACACAAAAGTTCTGGATAATGAAATGCCACACAAAAGTTCTGGATATTGAAATGCCACACAAAAGTTCCGGATATTGAAATGCCACACAAAAGTTCTGGATATTTAAATGCCACACAAAAGTTCTGGATATTGAAATGCCACACAAAAGTTCTGGATATTGAAATGCCACACAAAAGTTCTGGATATTGAAATGCCACACAAACGTTCTGGATATTGAAATGCACACAAAAGTTCTGGATAATGAAATGCCACACAAAAGTTCTGGATATTGAAATGCCACGCAAAATTTCCGGATATTGAAATGCCACACAAAAGTTCCTAAACAACAAATTAGTTTACTGAAGAATTTTTTTTTACATTTTTTGCCGTCGTTATCTAATAATTAAATAAAAACAATTCTGAAAACGTATCCACCCAAAAGTACGATTTTGAACGTCGACTTTGCGCATACACTCAGGATTTACAGATTTTTAAAATAGTTTTATATGTCTCAAATAAATCCTGAAGAATTTGTCCACAACACTGCATACTCAGTTCAACTATCTTACATAGCCGGTCTGTCCCTTTAATAAATTACACTAAACCAGGCTCGAGATCTATGCAAATGAGTAGAACTGGGCAACTTTCTGTTCACTAAAGTCAAGTTTTTGAAAATGAATAGAAGATTAATTCTGTTAACAAACAGTAAAAGTGATTAATGTTGAAATTGTAAGATAACCGTTCATGAAAAAGGAACGAAAAAATAAATAAAACTATCACGGATGTGTTTTAAAATAATGCTGACTTGTGTTTAATTTTCTGCTTAAAATTGCATTAAAATTAATGATATAAAGAATGCATTTTGTAGGATTTGATGTTTTTGAATGTTTTGGCAACTTCCCACTATAATCTTTAATATCTTGTTGACGGCTGGTGCGGGGATACCTATTTCAAAATATGTTCCATTATGGTCATTAGAAAGATTGAGATCGTTAATAAATGGTAACTTAACAAATTAGAAAATACTGTTAGCTGAACAGAAAATTCAATTCTTTGCTAAAAAGGAATGGATATGTCTGAAAAGGAATTGAGTCTTTGCCACAAAATCAAATATTCTAATGCCTATATCTTTGCAACCTTGTAGTGTACACCTTAGACATTTCAAACGTATATTATATTAGATAACAGAATTCAAATTGTTTGAAATATCAAATGGCTACAACATTGGGTTGCTCAGGTAAAGGGATTAGAAAATTAGAGTTTGTGGTAAAGACTCAATTCCTTTGGTCTTTCGAACGAGTTTAGATAACCGTAAACAAACGGATTGAAAAAGGTTCTGAACGTGGCCAGCCCTACAAATTTCGTATTTCAATATTGTAATAATAGAAACAGTTGTGTACGATTCTAAGCATTATAGTGATTGCATCTCAGTGGGCTCCCAGCAAGCAATCCCATTTCATAAGATCAAACATCCATCTTATGATTCAACACAATTATTCTAAATCCTTTAACAGAAAAAACCACATTACATGAATCTCAGCAAAAAGAAATTTGATTCTCTAAAACTCTAATTTTCTATTTTTTCTATCTTTCCAATCAGTTGGTGTATATTTTTGATATGTTGATTCTGCAAGCTCAAAAATAAAAATAAACAAATTTGTGGCAAATATAAATGGATTTATTAATTAAAATCAAAGACAACTTTATTGACATTTCTAATAAAAGATTTATAAGAAACCTTAAAATATGAGTAATCCTTAGATTTATGATATTATGTAAGATTATACGAAAGGATTTAAATATTTTAGGAGAAATTAAGTTTTCCGAACTTTGGTTAATTTTTAAACCACTTGGAATTTTGATAAAGTATCAATACAAAAAATCCAATCCAAATACAATTTTTCCACTTCTTAACATTTGTTATTTACAAAAGAATTGAGTCTTTGCCACAAACTCAAATGCGCTAATTCCTATATCTTTGCAACATGATGGTGTAAACCTTTGATATCTTAAACTTAGATTCTTTGATCAAACAAAATTCGTAGTTTGAAATATCTAAGAGTTACGCCATTGGATAGCAGAGATGGGAAAATTGGGATTGGAGTTTGTGAAAAAAAATACCTCAGAGACATTTTCAAACATTTGCCTACAATTTTTGAGCCTTTAAAGGCTTGTTTTTGACAATTTTATCTTTTATCTATTGAAAGAAAGTTATTAAATTTTTATTTGATATTTGTTTGGAAACTGGAGCTGCCAGGAGAAAACATAATTGAGATAATCCATTGAGTTATATATCCCAAGAAAATATTCAAATTGGCGAATCTCCAAGATTTCTGAAATATTTTGCAAAAGTAAAGTTTTTCAAAATATCAGAGTCAATAACTTTTGTATTAAAGGAAGTCAGAACCTTAAAGGTACTGTAAGCGTAATTTCAAGTGCCCCTCCATTAAAAATAATTAGTTATCAAAATCATAATCATTGATATCTAATTCTTGCTTGATCAGAAATAACTATAAGGGGTACAGTTGTGAAACTGGCATTGCCATCTGTGCATGGATGGTTACTTGAAATTACGCTTACACTTCCTTTAAGTTGGAATCTTATGAATCAAAGTTTGAGATTCTCCAATTCAGAGGTTAAAAAAAATCCTACCTTTACCAAAAGAATGATACCCCCAAGTAGGTACCTGAGTATATATAATTACCTGGTTAGGACGAATAGTAGGACGGATACTCCAAGGTATGCTGTAGCAGTATATATATAACTATACCTGGCTAGGACGAATAGTAGGACGGATACTCCAAGGTACGCTGTAGCCTTGTATATATATAATTATACCTGGCTAGGACGAATAGTAGGACGGATACTCCAAGGTATGCTGTAGCAGTGTAGATCCAAACATCAAGGGATAAAGGTGAAAGGAAAGAGAAAAGATCTGGAGGCTTCTTTTGGGGCTTTTTATACAAGATACTGAAAAAATCCAAGTTTTAATATAAAGGAATTGAGTCTTTGTCACATATTCAGTTTTTGTATAATCTATATCTTTGCAACCTTGTGATGTAAACCTTTAATATTTCAAACTTACATTATTTGATCTAATAGCATTCATAGTTTGAAATATTAAAGGCCTACGACATTGGGTTGCAACGATATTGAAATTAGAAAATCAGAGTTTGTGGCAAAAACTCAATTCCTTTAAACAAGTTGTTCACATACTTTGGAAGTTAGGACTTAGTAAATTTTACAGTTAGGAAGTTATCACTGGGTTAATATTAAATATGGGAAGTTACCATTTTGAAAATTGTATTAGTGGTAAATTACCACTTAGTAAATTGTACTTTTTCAAAGTTACCTATTGCTTTTTATATATAAATTTAGCTTGTCTGGGTGTGTCTGTTTGTTTTTATCCAATAAACGTCAAAATGGCTGAACCGATCGGGCCAAAATTTTGTGTGGGACCTCACGTGACCCCAGGAAAGGTTTATGAATGATAAAAATTTTAAAAATTTGTGTTTAAAAGTTTTTTATTTTTGTAAAATTTAGAAAAAATATTGTGAAATCCGCAAACTTTTTTTTGTTTTTGTTTTATACTGTACAAAGAGAAGATGCTCCCAGATAAAGCCACAATTAAAAGTTGAAATAGAAGATATGGGCGCGAAGCGCCCTAAAAGCCTAGTAATTGTACATTTGGGTAGTTCAATAATTGAAAAATTATTTGGTAACTACATTTTTTACTCCCTTCACTGGGAATCCGTTTTTGTAAAATACCCTTAAAGAGTGAGACTAAAAACACAATTTTAGCTGAAATTCATAGAGATACGATGCTACATCGATTGGACTAATATCCGAATGATTAAAAGATTAAAAACCAGTTATTCAAAAGTCAAAGAGCGCATCTCAAATCTCTAGCAAAAAGAGAGGCTCAAGCATTGATCTCGATATCCACCATTCTAAAGTTTTCAACGTTGAAGGCTTAGGTTTTAAGACTTAAACAATTGTCTCTGGAGTCCCATTATTGAACAAATAAACAAATTAATTAATTAATTAAATGAAGAAATACAAAAAAGAACAAATACAGAATTCATAAACAATTCTACAGAAATTTTTATTCATAATCAATTCTACAAAAATGTTTATTCATAAACAATTCTACAGAAATGTTTATTCATAAACAGTTCTACAGAAATGTTTATTTATAAAAAAATTTATAGAAATGTTTATTCATATACAATTCTACAGAAATGTTTATTTATAAATAGTTCTACAGAAATGTTTATTCATAAATAATTCTACAGAAATGTTTATTCATAAACAATTCTACAGAAATGTTTTTTTATAAATAGTTCTACAGAAATGTTTATTCATAAATAATTCTACAGAAATATTTATTTATAAACAATCCTACAGAAATATTTATTCATGAAGAAGCATATTGGTAGATGTCAAAGTCTACTACAACGACCCTTTGCTAATGGTGGATGTCAAAGTCTACCGCAGTCAACAAGAATGGGTTCAAACCCTTTGCTAATGGTGGATGTCAAAGTCTACTACAGTCAACGAATATGGGTTCAAACCCTTTGCTAATGGTAGATGACAAAGTCTACTACAGTTAACGAATATGGGTTCAAGGTGGATGTCAAAGTCTACTACAGTTAACGAATATGGGTTCAAACCCTTTGCTAATGGTGGATGTCAAAGTCTACTACGTCAACAAGAATACATTGCTACTTTAAATGTCAATGAATGCATTCCGAAATATGTTTTTATTATTTGAGTGCTGACAAAGAAGCTAATTTACGGGCAGCCGTAGTACATTTGAATTTCCGAGCCGGGTCAACCTTTCCGGTCCCAGTTTGTACTGTATCTAGCTCTATTGACAGGACTAGCCGGTGCAACAAGGTTGACGCGTTCAGAGGCTTCATATAGGTTGAATTTACTTTTACTAAAGAGGCAGAGGTGCGTGAATTGTAAATGCTCAATGAATGTATATTCAGTTGAGATTTCAATTAAATAGTTTGTTCGAACCAATACCGATCAGAACAAAATTATTAAAACATTATATTTTTAATTGGCTCATGTTAAATTTTCTTTTGTGTTTTGTTTTTAGCTGGACCATCATACATTGTTATTTTGTATTTAGTTTTGAACATAAATACTATAAAATTCTAAAGAAAAGTTTGTTCATAAACAATTCTCTAGAAATATTTATTCATTTATTCATTATGAATTATCTCTGAATCTGAGATCTTAAACAAAGGTAATTTCCCTTGATTAACCTTGATTATAATCAATAATGTGAAAATATATCCTGGGGTTTCTTGCTTGTATTGTGTTCAATTCTGAAAATTAACTTTAATATTTAATATTAATTTTATTGATAAACTGCTTAACCAAAAATATATCCTGGGGTTTCTTGCTTGTATTGTGTTCAATTCTGAAAATTAACTTTAATATTTAATATTAGTTTTATTGATAAACTGCTTAACCAAAAATAATTATTTTCAAAGAAAAGAACAATAAGAGATTTTTCCTTCCTTATCAGAAAAATATGTAAATGGTAAAAGTTGTGAATTTGATGATATAGATATGTGAAAATAGACAGTCTCTTTAAATTATGTGTACTGTTCCTTGAAAAAGAAACGTACAGGCAGCTTAGAATTTATTTTTATTGTAAACAAATGTTATGCTAAACAAAGATTGCCGAGCCCAAGCATATTTAAAATTTTGGTCCTTGACCCAGAAAGCCGTTTCCTTCGTTCGATCTCAATTTGACCGATAAACCGATAAACAAAATATGTTTAGATGGACATATTGTTATGAAAATGGACAAATTGTTATGAAAATGGACAAATTGTTATGAAAATGGACAAATTGTTATGAAAATGGACAAATTGTTATGAAAATGGACAAATTGTTATGAAAATGGACAAATTGTTATGAAAATGGACAAATTGTAATGAAAATGGACAAATTGTTATGCAAATGGACCGAACTGATAAATCAGGTCCTTTTCTGAGCTTTGTTTACAATTATTGATATTTTTATGATAAAACTAGGCTTAGAGCTATCCTAATCCGTCACAGTAAAATAAGAGAATTATTTTTCATATGTAAAACTGACGCTTTAAAGGTACTAATGAGCATCGTTTTAAGATCCGCTTCTAAACATTTAAAGTTTTCAGACCTTTAACAGGCTCACCTAGAATCTGAAATGTGAATCCTATTTCAAAATTGCATTCTAGACAAGTTATTCCATTATTTTATAAAATTTAATCAAATGTAAAACTGACGCTTTAAAGTTACTAATAACCATCGTTTAAAGATCCGTTTCTAAACATTTAAAGTTTCAGATTAAGAGACTCCCCTAGAACCTGAGATGTAAATCCTATTTCAAAATTGCATTTAAAACAAGTTATTCCATTATGTTTTACTTTGACTAAAATGAATAATAGAAGTCAATAATCTGTTTCCTTAAATTCTGTATATTTAATAAATGATAAAAAATATATTTATTAAATGACAGAATAATAGAAGTTAATAATCTGTTTTCTTAAATTCTATAGATTTAATATATGAAAAATGGATAAAACCATTAAAATATACATTGATTAAATGAAAAAATAAAAGAAGTCAATAATATGTTTTCTTAAATTCTTTAGATTTAATATATAAAAAATGGATAAAACCATTAAAATATATATTTATTAAAGTAAAGAATAATAGAAGTCAATAATCTGTTTCATTAAATTGTGTAGATTTCCAATAACGTGGATTAAAAGTCGTTGAACTTCAAACAGAAAATTAGATCAAAGAACATATTTTCAACTTTACTCCATCAATTTTATTTTATAACTTTAAAAATAAAATGTATTTGCTGCGCCTACTTTGTTTGTGTCCAATAAACGTCCAAACGAACATGACCCCAGAGCGAAGTTTTATGGACGGTTAAAAATGAATTATTTTGCCTTTAACAAAAGCACGGTGGACTAAGCCAGTGGGGTCGGTCAAATAGGCTTAGGATTAGGCCGGGTACTGTAAAATGTCTGAACGCGCCATGGGAGTTGTCATAGTTAGCCCTCTCAGGGGACTATGCCAAGAAAATTGACCCCTGTCGTATGTTAGTCTGGTTAGGGCGACGTACTGTACCATAGGATCAGGTCAGTACACGCTGTTATCTGGCAGGCCGGTACAAACTGGGCAGGTCCTGTTCGAATTCAAATTTACTACGCACCCTGAACTAACGAGAGAGAGAAGCATTCGGTTTCTTTTATTTGAAATCAAACTGTTTTCGTCTATAACTCAACAGTCTTTAGACTTACAGATTTGTTTATTTGTTACTTTTTCATTCAAAATGTATATGCCAACAAAAACATTTAAGATAAAAGGCTATAAGATTATGTTAAAGGGGCCAAATAGTGATCGAAAGTCACAATTTTCTCAAACATTGACAGAAACGTTAAATCCACGTGTACGGGGATAGAGTGAAAGGTCGACATATATTATTTTTGAAAATGCACATATTTTGACAGAAAAAACCCGCAAACTACGATTTACAAGGAAAAATTGCAGCTTTTGCAGAAAAGCAACGATTAACATTTAAAATTTTTAATATAAAAGGGGCACGACCCACCCTTGAAGCCTCTTATTTGATTTTTCTTTAAAATATATTGTATTCCATGAGGTAATATTATATGGTTGAACTATAAAACAGAAGTTGAACCATTAAACTTATATTCAGGTTAGGATTCGGAACAATTTACATTTTAACATCATATTGGGAATAATCTGTACTTAGCTATTTACCAAAGAGAGTTACTTCACAAGACGCCCGTTTGTAATGTGGAATTATATTCAATAAGACATTTACTAAAGAGGGTCACTTATACAAAATACATATATGCACTGGGCGTCTTGTAAAGCACAGTTGTTGATTAAATCTAATATATACACATATATTCTATCATGACCCGGGCGTCTTTTTATTAAATCCTGGTATCTAGGGTATACATATACTGTACCCTGTACCGGGCGTCTTGTAGATTAATCTTTGATTAAATCTTTCCGGCATACATAGACTGTACCATGCCCTGTGCGTCTTGTAAAATATAATCTTTGATTAAATCTCGGTATCTTTGGTACCTGGGCTAAAAGCTCTCCCATGAGACCATTCCATTCTCCAGTTTCTTTATTTCTAAATCCATATGCTCCATCATCCACCCATTTGAAGGTATAGTTAAACTCTAGAACATATCCTAGTCATGTATTGTATAGAGGCCGCCGGGTAGTGCACAGGGACACCTCCCTTTTGTATGGTAACACCTCCCCCTAAAGTTTTATCCATTTCAACACAATCGACATAAAAAACAATTTAAGCTATTTAAGATTATTAGTTGACATATCTATATTAAATATGCATTTAGTTCTTTATTGTATTTTAAAGGGGGTACAGGCAAAAAATTATTTCTTCTAAAATGTCGTTTTCATTTCAAATCATAAAACAATTAATATTTACTCAAGACATAGATAATTTTTAATGTGTTTTTTTTTTCAATCAAAATACATTAATAAATATCGGAAACTGTCATAACATTGCTTTTTTTCTCTAACATTGTGTTGAAATGGTTAAAACTTTACAGGGAGGTGTTTCCATGCAAGGAGGTGTCCCAATGCACGACACCGTCTTCCATTTTGTCGTCTTATTTCTAAATCATTGATCGCTCAAAGTTATAGTTAACAAAAATACAAAAATGTATGATTTATTTTTCTTAAAACTAAATACCAAATACCAAATCCAAAGTTCTAAAGTCAATCAGACTGAAGTTTAAAAATCATAAAACATAAGAATTTAAAGAATAAAATTCTACCTATTTTAAATATTGAAAAAGTAAATTGTCAGCAAATCCAACGCAACAAAAGACCGAACAAAAGAAATCGTTTTTTACTTAAATCTAAATTTTTAAGGAGAAAATTAATAAAAAAAAACACAACATTTTGCGTCCAGTGTGTGAATAGCAGAGGTTCTCCTAAATATCTCACGATTTTTAATTTTTAACTTTATTTTTTGCGAATTTTGAGCCAGACTAGCTAAATTTCTAAGCTATACTTCGTATATCAATTTAATAATTTCTAAAATTAGCTAGTGCAGTTGCATGTTTGACTACTATTGCAGAATTTTTCTTGGACTTTTATAGCTTATACTTACTAAGAATTTCTGCAATTTCTGAAATGAGATCAATGGCGTATCCTTCAAAAGCTGCATTCCCAACTTTAGTCTCTACAGACTGTGTCACCATACTGTACGGATGACTCTAGAAAAGGTATGATTAATATTGTAATTGAGCCAACCGCCCACTGGTTTAAACTCGGCCATTAATTTATTTTCGGACGATGACATTTTTGAGGAAAATCACAACATATAGCTCAAAGCTAAAAAAATCAAAATTTCATGGCGTACGTAGTACGTACGTACAACGTAACGATCGTTAACAAAGGGTCGTCGTTAACTATCGTTAACCAAGGTTCGACGTTAACGATCGTTAACGAAGGGTCGTTGTTAACGATCGTCAACGAAACGACGAATTTTATAAAAACGAGCGTTTTGAAAAACGATCATTTTGAAAAACGATCGTTTTAAAAACGACCAATTTTTAAAAACGAACTTTAAAAAAAAAACGATCGTATCGTTTTAGATTTTTCGTCGTCGTTTTCATAACGATACGATCGTTTTTCTGAAAAATGAAAACGTTAACATCCCTACGTGTATCCCATTATTATTCATCTCATAAATTCACGGGAAAAGTCTAAAAAATTCAAACACAAAACAAATCCAAATTCACTAAAGTCCTTTGAAAAAATCGTTGGGAAAAATCTTATCAAATTCTTTTGTAACCGGGACTTTTTCTCCGTCAAAAGGGAATTTTTTTCAAATACTCTTGTTGGATGTCACGTTTAAACTTACCCTAATAGTAGTCACGGTTAGAGTCTTGTTCTGCAGATTTTCTACTATTTCTGTGTACATCTCAGTGAAATTACGCTTAAACTCTACACCCTTCTCAACCATACCAATTATATCATTTTAGTTTTTTATAATGATAATAATTAAAAATTTAAACAACTTATTAAGTAAACTTGGTCTTTCAACGCTGAAAAAAATGCTGTGTCTCATGTTCATTGAACTGTATAATGTCATACGATTAGTCATAAAGTCGTCTTCCTATTCCATATTTTCTGGTTCTCGTATTTTTTCTCAATTAAAAAAATAGTTTTGGTCCGGGTTAACAGCCAGTTGAAACAATATAACAACCATTAAAATCAATAAATCAACAATATAATTATTTTAATCGCAAGAAAATTTACTAAAAAAGAGACCAATTCAAATCATGATTATTAAAAAAAATAGTTGGAAGCATTTTAAAGAACATTGATATTTCAACTTTTTGAAATAATTGAATAAGAAAACTAATAATAAAAACTATTTGTAACTTGTTTATTGTATTTATCAATGCATAAACTTTTCTTGTCTGTTTGTTTGTATTCAATGAACGTCAAGGCGGCTGAACCGATCAGGCAACATTTTTTTGAGAGACCTCACATGACCCCAGACAGGGGTGGGACATAAGAGAATTTATTAACAAACAATCTTATTATGCTAATGTCGAAACAATATCTACAGTTTCGACATTAACATGGTGGTCGAGGAACAGGCCTTGCAAAGAAGAGAGTTAGAGGGGGGGGGGGCAAAATTCTTTTATTGTTATACCATATCTTAAAATACTGGGTTCAATTTCATGTTTCGGTTCAAGTCTAGTTTCGGATGCATTAGTATAAAGCAGTTGAGGTGTTAACACCTCCTCTCTCTGAGAAAAAGCATGCAAAATGCTTGCAGAATATATTCAGGACTAGGGCCGCAACCCTTATATAACCTTTTTACTGTCAACGAGAATGGGTTCACATCCTTTGCTAATGGCAGATGTCAAAGTCTACCACAGTCAACGAGTATGGGTTCACACCCTTTGCTAATGGTAGATGTCAAAGTCTACTACAGTTAACGAGAATACATTGTTACTTTTGCTGAATCAATATGTATTTATAAGTTCAATGAATGCATTCCTTAAAATGTTTTAATTATTTAAGTGTGACTAATTATCTACTTCAATGAATGTATATTTAGTTGAGATTTCAATATGCATACTTTGTTTCAACAAAACTATCAAACATTATATTTTCAATTGGCCCATAAAAAATTTTCTTTTGTGTTTTTATTTTAAGCTGAACCATCATACATTTTAATTTTGTATTTTGTGTTTGAAAATAAATACTAAATAAAAATAAATGCACTACATTATAGTACAACCACCGAAACTGAGTTCATTGTGAATTAAAGATTTTGTTGTTTTCTGAGTACAAAATTCTATTTTGGCCTTACCTTACTTTGACCTCAGGTAAGGTTTATGGATGCTCAGAATTTTAAAAATTTGTCTAAAAAATTATTTTCGTGAAATTTTGGAAAATCTCCGAAAAAATTTAAAGACAATTTTTTTTTGTATTTTACGGAGAGAAAATTCTCACATATAGAGCCTCAATCTAAAGTTGTAATAGAAGATTGGCACGAAGAGACCTTAAAGCCTAGCATACAAAAAATTTAAATTTCGAATATTTACAATTTTCGTAAAACTCCACTCTGAAACTCTAAGGTTAATAATATTGAAAGGAGTTTTTAAAATTTCAGGCTAATTTGATTGCGGTTTTGGCAGAGTTGCGGAGTTTTGCGGTGAAAATCCATGAAAATCAATCTTTACCCTTGGCTCAGTGAACGCTGGACATAGAGTTTTGGACATTTGGCGTTTAAAAACCAGGTTTGAGGCTTAACTTTGATTTTGGATTAAAGAATTTGTGTATTTTATCATTTGCAAAAATATTGTTTTATTGTTTATAATTGTAATTGTAATGTTTAAAAAGATTTCAATATTAGCCGAACATGATGGATGATGCATGCACATGATGGATGATGCATAAACATAATGGATGATGCATGAACATGATGGATTATGCATGAACATGATGGATGATGCATGAACATGATGGATAATGCATGAACAGCAAAGAATAAAATGGAGATCTTGAAAGTAATTTATGTTAAAATATTTGCGCTGATTTCATTGAATTATTTATGGAATTTTGATAAAATTTGTTAAAAAAAATATGTTAAAAATGTTTAAAAAGATATAATTCCTTTGCTTCTGTCCAGCTTCCAACCTGAAATATAATTTTATTACTAAAGGGACATGTTGTCGTAATTTTTTGCTAAAGGGACATGAAGTCGTAATTTTATTGCTAAAGGGACATGTTGTCGTAATTATATTACTAAAGGGACTGTTGTCGTAATTATATTGCTAAAGGGACATGTTGTCGTAATTATATTGCAAAAGGGAAATGTTGTCGTAATTATATTGCTAAAGGGACATGTTGTCGTAATTTTATTGCTAAAGGGACTGGTGTCGTAATTATATTGCTAAAGGGACATGTTGTCGTAATTATATTGCTAAAGGGAAATGTTGTAGTAATTATATTGCTAAAGGGAAATGTTGTAGTAATTATATTGCTAAAGGGAAATGTTGTAGTAATTATTAGCGACTTTTATTCTAAGACGATCATGCCCAATTCACAACGATACCCAGGAAACCAGCAATAATGTTATAAAGTGTTCCTTGTAAAGTGTTTAATTCTGATTATTTCTTCATTGTTTCTTAATAGACTTAGAAGAAAAACAAAAATAAAAAATTTGTTTTTGAAAAAACAACAAACATGGATGCTTTACCAGATAAAGGTTTTCAGGGTACCGATGTGAATCGAAAAAGCCACTTTATCATTTGAAATTTTAGTTCCTTTATATTCACTCCGAAAATTTTTCTGATGAACGAGAAATGTTTAAATTTGCCAAGAGGATTATGACTAATTCTAAAAATTACAAAAAAATACAAATGTTGAAAAAGTTTTACTCCGGGATATATCATCCCATGGACAGGCTTCTAACTTAGCTTAAAGCCAACCTTTTAATTTACCAAAGTTATTTTCAGTTAATTCAGATTTTGTAATTTGAGGACTGGAAGGGACTGTAACCTAATTTTAAGTGATCCTCATGAACAGTTAGTTGTCACTTCGCCTTGGTCTTTATTTTCAACTTAAGTTTTCATTACCTTAGAACTTCAATAATCTTATTTGTTTAATTAATAGATTGACAGTTGATAGATGTTTGTGTGAGTGCGTTCACATTTTGGATCACTGCCCGATGAAGTAAATTTTTTTTCATTCATAAAATTTCTATACAATTCAAGGGCCGCAGAGAAATAAGTAAATTGATATGATTGGCTTCGAAAGGTTACAATATAAGCGTGTTATTTTCTTTTCATTATTTAAGTTCACATATACAATATACATATCATTAATAGTTTTATTTTTCTAGAAGTGTAAGGCAATTATAATTAGAATCCTAATGGTAGAACGGACAGTAATTACTCTAGTATCAGGTAAACCCAGGGATTTAACGTGGAATTAAACCAAGGTGTAATTTCCTGAAATGTTATTTCCGCAAGACGATTATATGAATTAGGTTTGCGGGGAGAGCCTAGATTGTAAAAAGAAACGTGAGGTTTTAATAAATTGGGGTTCTTTACAGCTAATGTAGGGTATACCAGAGGGTTTAGCAACTTGGTAGGGCTAGAAGCTGGATTGGTGATTGCAAAAATAAATATACAAATAAATCGCTGAGGATGTTTCCACGTGTTTTCAGTGTTGAGCTTATTAACTTGGGAACCCAGCGCTGCCCAGGTTATCAAAAGTTACTCCCGTCGTTTACCCGCAATGAACGATTTTACCGTGAAACTAAATTTCGCTATTAAAGTCGACCCACTCAACTATGAATCTCAAAATCATGAGCTAAGAACATTCCCGTGGCCCTCCCGAGTTCCCCAACCAAAATTTGTGGCAAATCGGTCAAGGGGTTCCTGAGTTATGATCGACAAACAGAGATTACAACTTTATATATAGAGATAGCTAAAAATAAATCTAGCTGAACATTTTAAATTCCTATATTTCATGATAAGATGACAGTCGGACACACATTTTTAAAGATTAAATTTATCCTTGGCAAAAATATAATCTTTTAAAGGAAATCAAATTTAGTTCAATAAGTTGAATAATGAAGATGAATGTTTGTTAAAAGATTGCAGGGAAATATACGTCAACACGGCTGAAATGATCGGCCCCAAATTTTTTGTGGGACCTCAAATGACCCCAGGGAAGGTTTATGAATGCTTCGAATTTCAAAATTTTGTTTTTTTGTTTTTTTGTTTGTAATTGTATCTAATGAACGGTAAAACGGCTGAAACCATCAGGCTCAAATTTTGTGTTAGACTTCACATGACCCCAGGGAAGGTTTATGGATGTTCAAAATTACAAAAATTTCTGTCCAAAAGTTTTTGATTTTTGTAAAAGTTTAAAAATGCACCCTAAAAGCCTAGTATTGTACATATGTGAAGCTGTAGACGCAATTTAAAGTGACATTTCGGTGAAGGCCTAGTAAACCTGTGTTGGAGCAAAAATTATAAAAATATTCTCGTTTTTAAAATCTAACATTGGACAATGTGGTTTCTGTGAAAATTCTACTTGTGGATTTTATGCTGCAAAGACAAAGAACGTAATTTACTTTTTCTAAGCAGGCAAAACGATGATATCTTTCCTCAGATAGAGATTGATTGAAAGGGTAACGTTGTGAATCGGCCATGCAAATCTTTAAACGGAGGGCACTTGTAATTTCAATGTCTAATAAATGACCATTACAGATAATTATCTAAGCTTATTTATGTAGGTTGCAAATCTTAAATACAACTTAATTTCAATTGACCCACCATCTCAAGGTTATTATGCAAGGAAAGTTAATTGCAGTTGCGTATACTCTGCGTACATATTGAAACCAGTTCTCTCTAGGCGGAATTTGTAAACAATAATAGATGCATCAGTGTTTGTTTAGTATCCGAGGAGGTTAAACGCATTTAATTTAGATAATTTTGATAATTCACATAATAGTTTCCTATGACCAGAATATTTCATTGATTATTTATGTGAATGATGGATCCCATGTCAGGCTTCGACATCCGTCTTGTGTTTACATTACCGCCCAGAGACAGTACACTGCAGTACAAAAGATGCATACAACTCTAAAATAACTTTCCTTGCATTACAACCTTGCACCATCTCAAGTGTTGCTTCACAATTCACAATAGTACACTGTGAACCTTTGTCCATTGATTATTTCTCTGTGGCTCTTTGTTAAAATTACTTGGGGAGCAGCAGAGTCAAGAAAGGAAAGGAACTGCGTTTTTGCCACGAATTCTGATTTTCTAATCCCCATATCTTTGCAACCTGATGGTGTAAGGCTTCAATATTTCAAACTATCATTATGTGATCTAAAAGAATTCATAGTTTGAAATATCAAAGGTATCCGACATTGAATTGCAAAGATATTGGGATTAGAAAATCCAGGTTTGTTGCAAAAATTTTATGACTTTATATTGACAGAAAAGTGATATTGGTGCGCTTTGATAGGATTGATTTAAACCCTTACATTTGTCTATATGGTCATAAACATTAAACATATTAATTTGTAGATTTAATGAAATGTTGTTATATCAATTTGCATAAAGCGTTGTTAATTTCCCTAATATAAAGGGTGAGTCAAAATAAACCGGGATTAGCGTTTTTTTCTACACTAAATTTTATTTAACATGGCTCATGTAATAAAAATTATAAGATTTATTTTTGGGACATATATATAAGAAAAAAGTATTTTTTTTTCAGAAAATGATTAAAATTGAAGAATTTTTATAGGAAAAAATAATCTCAATAATTTCATTTTTAAAAATAATAATGATGATTATTGTCAGTGATATTAATCATAACAATAATAGTAATAATATTTTTCACAGAGTTTTAAATTTTTAATGGATTTTTATTAAAGTTCTGAATTAATTAGTTTAAACATTTTTTAATTGATTTCTGAAAACTTTAACAAAAAATCAGTTTAGTCGATTTTTTTACCCTCTGCCATAAAAATCCGCTAATGCCTTTTTAAAAGACTCAACCTGTATTTCTACAGCTTCTGCCAAAATATGTTTCCAAAGAAAGTTTTATATTCAGTATACGACATCTATATTCGCTTCACTGGCCCAGAACTATACAATTTTATCAAAACCTTTATCTCTCTTTAATTGGCTTCGAAAGGTTACAATATAAGCGTGTTAAAATAATAACATAACATAACATGAATAATCCATTTATAAACTAGATGATATCAACTGCAAATTTTAACATTTCTGTTTTTATAAATCTCCACCATCTTCTTGATGTTGATGTTGATCCAACATGTTCGGCTATTATTGATAAAGAAAATAATTTATAAAGAGTTATTCACTATTAAAAACACCGTTCTCTCTTTCAAACAAATTCCATACAATCGTCTCTGAAGGTTCATCCTTTGCAAGTAACCCAGTATCTTTTAAAAGTAGGACATATACCAATAAATGGCTAATATGGACCTATTAGTTTACTCTGAAGTCATCCAAATAAGTGAATGATCACTTTAAAAGGGAGAGATTAATGTTTATGTAAAGGGGTAACATAGGAACTTGAAAAAAGAATGGAGTCCAAGGTTATAATGCAAGGAAAGTTATTTCAGAGGTGTACACATCTTTTGTACTGCAGTGTACTGTCACTGGGCGGTAATGTAAACACAAGACGGATGCCGAAGCCTGACATGGGATCCATCTTTCACATAAAAAAATCAATGAAATATTCTTGTCATAGGAAACTATTATGTGAATTATCAAAATTATCAAAATTTAATGCTTTTAACCTCCTCGGACACTAAACAAACACTGATGCATCTACTCTTGTTTACAAAGAGAACTGGTTTCAATATTTGCGCAGAGTATACGCAACTGCAAGTAACTTTCCTTGCATTATTTATAACCTTGATGGAGTCGACACATTTCTTACATTAATCTAAACATTTTACAACAAATATATTAAAACCTCTTTTGAACAATATTGTACCTAGCTGTATATCTTTAAAGGGAGTGCTTATGTTTTTTAATGATCTTGCAATTTAACAAGCGGAATGCCCGATTGACTAAGGTACCCTTAAAAGCTTTGCCTGATAAAAGAATGCAGAGATATCAATCACCTATTCTTTGAAATACGATTTTTTGTCAATTGTAGCATTTCTAAACGATGACTTGCGCATTTCTGCTACGGAAACAATATGGAAGAACAATTTAAAGGGACTGTAAAGGAAAAATGAAAGGGGGGTATAGGATGAAACCTGAGAATCTCAGGCGTTGAACGATACCTATGAATTATCTATCCGATGTTCCTGTCTCGAGATATTGCTATAAAACTGTGTCAAAATTATACGAAAATTCGTATAAATATATACAATTTTGTATAAAACAGAATCCTGAGAATCTTGGGGTTGCTCCAGTTATAAGCATTCAACTTTTATTTTGCATTTTTAATAGATATAATTGATAATATTATGACCAGTACTTCAGCCAATGGCAGTGCAGTTTACTGGTAACTTGATTTACGCCTGTACCACGTGACAACGATATTGCACTGTCATTGGCTAAAGTTATTGTGACGTAATGCGGACTATACGGACTATATGTAATAATATTATCAACTATATCTATTCAAAATGCAAAATCAAAATTAAAAAATTAAAATAGGAGCAAACCTGAAATTCTCAGGCTCCTGTGGGATATAATCGTTTTCAGATTGGTTGCGTATTTCTTGAATATGATCTGTTTAATACTACAACTTTTATACACAATTGAATATATATGAATTTTCGTATAAATTTGACACAGTTTTATATCAATTTCTCGAGACAGGAACATCAGATAGAAGTCTCATAAGTATCATTCAACGCCTGGGATTCTCAGGTTTCATCCTATACCCTCATTTTTCCTTTACAGTCCCTTTAAATGAAACGTTTTTCAAGTCAGAAATGGAGCACATTATTGATTGGAAAAAGGTTTAAATAGGAGATCAATTGAAATTTCAAAGATAGTCTTTTTAAATGTGCTGACCTTTTCTTTGTATCATTGAATAAACGAAAACCTTTACCTGGGATTTATCAAGATTGTCCAGAGCCATAGCAAATAGCATTACAGCATCATAGATTAGAGCAGTGCTAGTCTAAACATAGAATATTAAAAACATTACAGCATCATAGATTAGAGCAGTGCTAGTCTAAACATAGAATATTAAACATATTACAACATCATAGATAAGAGCAGTGCTAGTCTAAACATAGAATATTAAAAACATTACAGCATCATAGATTAGAGCAGTGCTAGTCTAAACATAGAATATTAAAAAACATTACAGCATCATAGATTAGAGCACTGCTAGTCTAAACATAGAATATTAAAAACATTACAGCATCATAGATTAGAGCAGTACTAGAGTCTAAACATAGAATATTAAAAACATTACAACATCATAGATTAGAGCAGTGCTAGTCTAAACATAGAATATTAAAAACATTACAGCATCATAGATTAGAGCAGTGATAGTCTAAACATAGAATATTAAAAACATTACAGCATCCTAGATTAGAGCAGTGCTAATCTAAACATAGAATATTAAAAACATTACACCATCATAGATAAGAGCAGTGCTAGTCTAAACATAGTATAGTATATGAATAAAAATCAATAAAGCAATGCACTGAGTTCCTCAAATATTCAACGCGTCGGTTTTTCTTACAATATATTTATATACAAAAGATACAAACTTTAAATCGAACGATACTAATACAAACGAGATATTATGAATCTAATCAGATCTATCAAACAGGAGACATTTTACATTTTCATTTTCATCGTCTCACTTACACAAATTAAATATTGTTAATCAAATTAGTTTCGTCAAATAGGGGAATTCTTCAAGGGAACCTTAATTCAAGGGAGCTGAATCACAACTGTCTGTCCCCCTTCGATTTCGCTCCATCCTAGGATCGCATTTAACCCTAGCTACCACGGGGTTGTTCCGCCCCCCTCCCCAACGCTTGGGTCTTCAAGATAACGGAAAATTCGGCGTCGCTTNTAGATAACATTCATAACTCTAGAATAGGTAGATAACATTCATAGCTCTAGAATAGGTATAGATAACATTACAGCATCATAGAAGAGAGCAGTGCTAGTCTAAACATAGAATATTAAAAACATTACAGCATAATAGAAGAGATCATTACTGTACCTTTATTGATGATTCATTAAACTGATTGTTAACTGTGTGATCTAAATTGGAACAGTGCTTGAAATACATAATCGTTTTAAAACTAACAAATTGTTCTTGAAAAAACATATTTGAGATAGATTATTTTCACATTATTTGAACGTTGCCTATTTTCATATTTAACATTTAACATTTAAATTTGTTTGTTTACACTCATAGGTAGCCTGTGGGTGACATAGGCTAAAAAAAATTCAAATTTTTTTTCAAAATTTTTTCTTTTCAAAATTTTTTTTCACAATTTTTTTTTCGAAATTTTTTCTCCGAAATTTCTTTTTTTTCCATGGGCAACGCCGGGCCCTATTTACTAAAGTTAAACTTTTCTGAAAAAAACTACCTTGTTTTTTTTTAGAACGAAATTCTTAAATCTTATAATATTGATAGCAAATATTTGTTTGTAAAGTATGATCGTATAAATCTAAGATCACTTAATTCCTACGTGAAAGGGACAGACCGGTTATGTATGGTGTTAAAGGGACAGACCGGTAAATTGGTGGGCCGGGCTAAAGGGAGCCAAGGAGAATGAAAATCTGTTTTAATGGGAAGGTGTTTAAACGTTGCGCCACAATGGTAAAGTTTAAATTTATGTTTAAAATTCCAATAAAAATATGTAAATTTTATTTCAAAGTATTTAAGACTGTTCTCTCCTGAAGAATGAAGTTTCGGGGTTCTTTGATGTTTCAGAACACTCTTGATCAATATTTAACATGTTTAATGTTTTTAAGGGACTGCAGCATAGATAAATTGAAATAACAGATAGGACACTAAATGTCGTCTTTTCAAGATTTGGATGAAACTCTTTTACAATAACTCTGAGGCAGAAGCCCAGAGGAGTTTCGCGCAGTCGGCTATCTCTGACTTCTAATTCTGCTTGGGCTCACATATTGTGTGGAACCTGACATGATTCCAAGGAAGGTTTATGTTACATCACATAGGAAAAAACCCTGGAAACTGGTTGGCATTTTTTTTCTTTCAAAAATGCGCTAATTCAAAATAAAAATCGCCAAATTTTGAAAAGCTAACATTATTTACAGGAAAAGGGAGCAGGAAGCGTTCTAAATGACTATTTACCTACATTGAAGACAAAAATGCTTAAACCTAATATTTTGTAAAAAAATCTTTTTGATAAAAAGTTTATCTGGGAAAAGTATAAAACATTAGTTATTAGATTAATATTAATAAATCCTGTGCCTAGATTCAATTATTCTTTTTATTGATATAATATTTTTTTATGATGAATCAAGTAAACTTAATAAATGTAGGCGCTAATTAGATTTAAGATCTTTGATGGATATATTAGATATATAAGTATACCCCCCCCCCTCATATATAGTTCTTATCCAGGGAATAAGACTAAAGGGAAGGGAAATGGCGCTGGTCTGGCATGAGAAAGCCAGTCACACAGCTTTAAAGACGAGTTCGTTATTTCACACGCACACTCTTTTGGTACAGACACACAACATGACTACAGTCAAGGAAATTGCAGAACAATGTCGTCAATTACAATTAAGCTTGAATAACGAGTAGTTTATTGTAAACTTTAATCAAATTATATTCTTTGCATGCAAATTTGGCTTATAGTGTTAATTTAAATATATGAATAATATTTTACAATAATATTACAATAATAATAACGATAAACAAATGTACCCTCCTAGACTGTACAAATACCGAGATTTGTATTTACTGTATATACTTTATATTCGGTTCGGTATTACTTACACACACTCTTTTGTTACAGACACACATAAATGACGTTTCCGCCCCCTGTTCATATCCCCAAAGAAAACCGGTTCTGTATCTTTTCATAAACTTTATGTACAGTCGTTGTTTGAAGCATTTATCAATACAATAAAAACGACTTTTGATTTATATCAAGCTTTTAAGCAGCATGGATACACATAAACATGGACTCAAAGAGAAGGTGTCGATTCAAGAGCTTCTCATTCAGAAAAAAAAAACAATCAAAACTTTAATAAAAAGTCGTCTTCATTGTATTCATATAATCGCCTACCACTGTATACTAGTAAGAGGTCGGAATTTTTGTGTGAGTAAATCTTGAACACTTGATCTTGAAATCCAATGTGGGCACTTTTAATTCCTTAATTAAATTATGCCTGCAGGGTATTACCATCACGGGATTTTAAATTTTGAAATTTGAAATTAATTTGTATGCCTGTATGAGAAAGGGATTAATTCTTGATCCCGAGATTCAAAACAACAAAAATTATTACGTCAGAGGTGGGAGCTTTGATGTTCACTATTATCCCGGGCACTTGACCTCGGCATCCACAGTGTGCAGTTTTAAATTTTACGGATAATCTTCTTAATTTCTTAATTTTAGATATCTCTAGCCTCTACTTTCTCTGTTTTCTCATTGGTTAATCACTAGATTTCTTGGCTCCTGATTGGCTGTTTATTTTCTGCCCTTCCCGGGATATTTAATAAAGATTAAATTGATCTGTAGATTAACAATAATTTCAAATCAAGCGTTGAATCTCGATGTTCCCACCTCAGAATATATGTATTTAATTTATTTATTTAATTTATTTAATTTAACCAACAAACAAATTTATTTAATCTAACCAACAGCACTTGCAAACTTTACACACTCTTATACAAACTTATCATTTAACAAGTATTCTAAATTTAAATGGGGAAGGTGGGTTTGGGTAGACCTTAACAAAAATTATTCTTTCTATTTCATCTCTATCACGTGTTTCTCTTAAACTTTTCAACCTTTTTTGTCGTTTTTATTATGAATCAAAAATAAATTTTTAAGTTATTTTTTCTGTCAAATTATTGCCTGAACTAAATGACTATCAGGATTGACTAGTCGGAAGGAAGTTATATTAGTCCCACTATACTTGAACTCCTAAATCAAGAATATCGGAATTAGTCATTTATTTTTGTCGCAGATAATCTTTTTTGTCATTGATCATGTGGCATGTTCAATTCAAACGTTATCCCTAAAATCTTTGTCTAATCAAGTATAAATTTGAAATCTATGTTTTTGTTTTTAAGAACTGATTGTTTTCAATTGTGGTTTATCTCATACATAAGTAGCTTGCGCAATGCGCATAGACACATTGATTTCTTCTGAACATTTTTCAATGACGTTAACTTTACAATATTGATTAGATAAAGGCTTTAAAACTATCATTGTAAATCTAGAAAACCCATCTTTAAAGTTTCAACGCCAGTTCCATTACTGAAGCAATCAATGTAAAAAAAAACTGGTGTATTCAAACAAAGGAGTTGAGTTTTTGCCACAAACTCTGATTTTCTAATCTCTATATCTTTGTAACCCAATGCCGTAGACCTTAGATATTTCAAACTATTAATACTTATAGATAAAATTATCTAAGTTTGAAATATCAAAGGTTTGCACCATAAGGTTGCAAAGATATTGGAATCAGAAGATTTTAGTTTGTGGCCAAAACTCAATTCCTTTTCCTTGATATCTGACGGATATTGATTTTTTAAAATATGAACATTTATTTGAAAAAACGAATGCATGCCCCTCCGTCTTGATACCTGTAGATTAACTAGATGTAGGTCTAAACTTGTAATTAGATAATTATGATATGCTGTCATTAATCCTGCCTGTTCTGCCTCCTAAATATATATCATTAATTAATGTTAATAAATAATTAATTAACATTCATTAATATTTATTAAAATAGTTGATTAATTAGGAAAATCGCTTATTAATTTAATAATTGATATTTTATTTGAAACATAATTAAAATAGCCCTGTAATTAATTAAAAAATTTCATTTTTTTTATCCTAACAGAGATTTATTTTGCCAATTTTCTTAATTTTCTCTGATGCATAAATCCGCAAGAGAATATTATTTTTTTTCGGATAGTCCCTTTCATTATTAATAATAATATCCTGTACTAACCTTGAGAACTTGACCAACCCTCTCCAGCTGACAATCTACAACTAGATGGATCTCACCACTCTGCTTTATATCACGCAGTATCTCAATCATCATCATCAACATTATCATCATCATCATCATCATTATCATCATCATTATCATCATCAACATTATCATCATCATCATCATCATCATCATCATCAGGAGCAGCATCTTCATCTTCATCATCATCATCATCATCATCATCATCATTATCCTCATCATCAACATCATCATCATCATCATCATCATCATCATTATCATCATAATCATCATCATCATCATCATCATCACCATCATCATCATTTTCATCGTCATCATCATCATTATAATAGCCATCCTCATCATAATAACAATAAAAACAATACAGGTTATAATAAAAGTAATAATAATAAAGATAATAATAATAATAATAATAATAATAATAGTAATAATAATAATAATAATAATAATAATAATCTTAATAATAATTTTATTAATAATAATAAATTTTACCTGTTTCCCTCTACAAAGTTTAGTTGTCTTACAACAATCTTTACATCAGTTTTTGTTGGAGATTTTAATAATTCTTGTAAACGCATCAAACCTTAATATTAATTATTTGTTTATCAAATGAATATTGTTAAACCGATGTAACCCCAAGAAGTTGGTTTTGTGTTTTAATATTTTTAAATTGATGTTTCTAAACTATATCATTTCTTGACTTTATCTTTGTTAACAACCCTTTGAGGAAACATGTTTCTGTGAACAAAACTTTTAACTTTTTAACGAAACAAAGATATGCGTTAATTGTGTCTTGTGAGTTGCCACAAAAAAATTGGCCTTAATGGGTTAGGTCGTTGTGGCGTTGTTTTGATACAGACACCCTAACACACGGACAAGCAAAATATACATATAATATATTATAAAAGTTTAATCTTATTGTTCCTTTGTATACTTGCACACTTGCAGTGTGTTTTGATTTAACTTCACGTACACTATTTAAGTTTATTTCCCTATGGTCTATCTATCTATCTATCTATCTATCTATCTATATATCTATCTATCTATCTATCTATCTCTCTCTCTATCTCTCTATCTATCTATCTATCTATCTATCTATCTATCTATTTTTCTATCTATCTATCTATCTATCTATCTATCTATCTATCTGCACTGTCTGTATTTATGCATATATGTTTTATTGTCTGTCTGGGTATCTGTCTGTGAATCTATATGGCTATTTTTCTGACTGCCTAATGTTCTATATTTCTAACGTTTTAACAATTTCTGAAATATAACAGGGTGACCAAGAAGACATACTTAAAAATTTTATATCAAAAAATGAGTTTTACATGTAAACCCTGTTTCTCACCTGCACTGTCCTGGTATAAGATTGTAAAGGATTTCCACTCGAAAGCTTCAATAATATCAACAAAGGCCTGAAACAAGGGAAACCAATATTGGGTTGGACTCTAGTCATTTATATATAGGTAGATAACATTCATAGCTCTAGAATAGGTAGATAACATTCATAACTCTAGAATAGGTAGATAACATTCATAGCTCTAGAATAGGTAGATAACATTCATAACTCTAGATTAGGTAGATAACATTCATAACTCTAGAATAGGTAGATAACATTCATATCTCTAGAATAGGTATAGATAACATTCCTAACTCTAGAATATGTAGATAACATTCATATCTCTAGAATAGGTAGATAACATACATAACTCTAGAATAGGTAGATAACATTCATAACTCTAGAATAGGTAGATAACATTCATAACTCTAGAATATGTAGATAACATTCATATCTCTAGAATAGGCATAACTCTAGAATAGGTAGATATCATTCATAACTCTAGAATAGGTATAGATAACATTCATAACTCTAGAATATTTAGATAACATTCATATCTCTAGAATAGATACAGCTAACATTTATAACTATTGAATAGGTATAGATAACATTCATATCTTAGAATAGGTATACATAACATTTAAAAAATATAGGAGTTTCAGAAAAGTGTCTTTAAGAAGTTGTCTTTCAGGAATAAGGATTTATAGAAATACACATTTTTTTTAATTGTTGAAGAAATAAAGAATTTTGACTCTTTGACTAAGAAGTTTTTATAATTTGAAATATAAAAAATATAAAAATCATCAGACTGCAAAGATGATATAATTTAAAAGTTACAGTTCTGTGTTCGGTTCCTTTAAGTAAGTAAGTAAGTAAGTAATTATTTTTTGTCTAATTAAAAAAACGAATCTAACCTTGCTTATCTGTTTAGGACTAGGATACAGATTGATTGAGTAATCATCTCTCTTGAGCATATAATCCCATCTAGTCTCTATATGCGGTATCTCCATAGCATCACAGATAGATTGAACATGACTAGATGTTGTACCAGATTCTGGTCCAAACAGGGCAGCTACACCAGACTTTAGCAGATGACAAACTAGAATATACCAGACTTTAGCAGCTGACAAACTAGAATATACCAGACTTTAGCAGCTGACAAACTAGAATAAACCAGACTTTAGAAGCTGACAAACTAGAATATACCAGACTTTAGCAGATGACAAACTTAAATATACCAGACTTTAGAAGATGACAAACTGGAATGTACCAGACTTTAGCAGCTGACAAACTAGAATATACCAGACTTTAGCAGATGACAAACTTGAATAACCAATGAGATTTGTTTAAAACCAGACTAAAATATTTGATCTAGTAAAAATGCCGAAAATAAATTTGGTAGCAAATTTAAAAACGAATCGCGACTCCGGTAAAAAACTGTTTTTGGCAATACTTCCCATTATTATAAAGAAATATCTATTTTTAATTTTTATGATTTACTTGAAACTAACGTCAATATTCAATAACTTAATAAACAATATTAAAGAAGATTCTCATAGTAATGTTATTTCTAAACCAGGGTTATTATGTAATCTGTTAATAATGTTATTTCTAAACCAGGGCTATTATGTAATCTGTTAATAATGTTATTTCTAAACCAGGGCTATTATGTAATCTGTTACTAATGTTATTTCTAAACCAGGGCTATTATGTAATCTGTTAATAATGTTATTTCTAAACCAGGGTTATTATGTAATCTGTTAAGTTACTTCACCTCTTTTAGAGGCATGGAAGGAATCTTTTGGCGGTATTTTCTCTATCTGGGCAGACAGTCGAGATCTAAGAAATAAGAAAAATAAAATTTCAGGGGAAAATTTTCTGAATTGAAAAGTATAGATGCAAATGTAAATACAGTTATAATTCGATCGAGGCTACTTTACGGGAAATTACGGGCATTTCACCTAAACAAGAGTTCTTTTGGCCAATTTTGCAAATGGTCAAGTAAAATTTTTTATTTCGCGAAAAAGTAGTTTTACACAATTATATCGTCTTTTGGGATTTTGTAAATATTCAATATTTCAAACTATGATTATTTGAACAAATGGAATTCATAGTTTGACATATCAAAGGTAAAGGACATGGGGTTGCAAAGATATTAGGATTAGAAAGTCAAGAAATTGTTGTTAAAACTCAATTCCTTTCTATTAATATATTGTATACTGCATATTGGGTACCCAGCTTTGCCTAAAAGTATGTATAAATCAACCAATTTAACATCCCGAGGTTCTACCGAGTCTTCCAATCAAAATTTGAGACAATTCGGTTAAGGGGTCCTTCTTTGTACTTGCTTGCCCGGTACACCAACTACACTGGCAGACATACGGTAGAGGTCAATATAGTTAGCCTAGCTGCATACGGCAGGGGTCAATATAGTTAGCCTAGCTGCTGCTGGTTGAATTTACAAATTTTGTGTGATAAAATTAGATATAAGGATCAGCTCAGTGAAAAGTTCTCAGTCCCTTTCGTCAATTAAATTAAAGATCGGATCTTAAAAGGACTGTGAGATAAATTTCAAGTGGATTAGATATTAATATCTATAATTTTGAAAACTGATAATTTAACACATTATTGATCTGATAAAGCTGTCAAGGGTACTGTTGTGAATCCTGCCTTCCCCCAGACTATAGAAACAACAGTAGATGACAATATTAGAGTTCTAAGAGTAAAGACTGACATGTTTTGTGGAAATTTATTTAAATTGTTTTTAAATTAGATTTTTTTACATAAAAGACAAGGGAAATAGACGAAAATTTAATAGTATGAGGCTGTAGGGGGGGGGGCGGAGTAATGTTAAACAGGTGTTTTTTACTTTCACAAAGGTTTTTTTCCAAAATGGCAAAACTTCTAAAGGGTATTTTTCCAAGTGGCAACTTCCCAATTGTCAATATCCCAAGTGGCAACTTCCCAATTGTCTATATCCGAAGCGGCAACTTCCCAATTGTCTATATCCTAAGTGGCAACTTCCCAGTTGTCTATATCAGAAGCGGCAACTTCCCAATTGTCTATATCCCAAGCGGCAACTTCCCAATTGTCTATATCCCAAGCGGCAAATTCCCAAAGGTTAGGGTAGGCCCTCTGAGACGCCTAAGGCTGCAATGGGGCCCGATCACTGCGGCTAGAACAAGTTGATGGGCCAAACGCTGCAAATTTGGGAAAATGTCACTTGGGAAAATACCCTTGGGAAGTTGCCACTTGGGAAAATCCTATCGTGGGTTGATATTTATTGGATTTAAAGAATATTTTTTATAGATTTACGATATTATAATAAGACCAACAAGTGTTTTAAGACTTTACAACTCTGCCTGTGGTAGAAAATATTAAATTAAATTTCAAAAGCTCATGAGATATTAGGAAATTTTAAAATGAAAAATTTAAAAATGTGAAGAAAAAAACGGAATTGCCTCGGGGAGTGGGAAGGGGGACCGGGGGGGGGGCACTTTTGTAGAAAGGATCAATTTTATTTTTACTGGCAAAAATAATAAAAGAAAAGAAAAGAAAAGAAAAGAAAGACATAACTTTAAAAAGAAATATTTTAGAGAGAGAAGATGTGAATTTTATTGAATATACCATGCATGCTCAGGAATCAAACTTGATAAATTGGAAGGTCACTGAACACCCATTCTTATCCTCAGGAATCTTTAACTTTCAACCAGCGATATAGAGTGGAGAGACCTAACTCAAATTCATTAAATTCCATCCCTAGACTACATTTTAGAACTAACAAATTCTCGTTTTTAGCTTGAGTTTTTAAATGACGTTGGCTACACTCTCATTGATTTTTACATGAGAACTTGCAACCTTTAGATGACTGTGAGGGTGATCAAAAACTATGAAAGAATTAGATAAAAATATTAAATTTTAACCTTTTCAGTTTTTAGCTTTATGTCAACATTTAACAATTTTTAGACTGCTAATGTTACAGAATACATGATCTTTGGATTAAATGTTCAGTAAGCCAAACGCCTTTTCCAGGTCTAACTGCGGATTAGGGTTTCCACGAAATGGTTAAATCTTTTGCGCAAAATTTGCGCTATTTTCGCGCAAATTTTTTTTTTGCGAATTTTTGCGCTATTTTTGCGCAAGAAACGCAATGAGTTTTGCGCGGTTTTTCGCTATTTTTTTTTGCGCAATCCGGAAAATTTTTTTGCAAAAGTTGCGCATGAAACGAAATTTTTGTTTTGCGGAATTTAAGAAATATGCATGTCCAAAACTAAAATTGTCGAGAAAATTGTGAGATTTGAACTCTTCTTAACTGTCATTGGTCAATTATGTAAAAGTGAACAATAGGAAGACAGTCCAAAACAAGATTTTTCCAGAATTGAATTCTAAGAAACACACACCGTCACCAACCGTTTGATTTTTACGAAATTGCGCAAAACTCTAGTTGCGGAATTGCGCAAAACTTGAGTTTCGCAAAAGCGGAATAGGCCAATTTTGCGCGAAATGACTTTTGCGAATGATTGCGTAAATTGTTGTTTTTTTCGCGCAAAACTGATGCGCAAAGAAAGAAAAATTTTGCGTTTCGTTCCGCAAAAATTGCGCAAAAGTTTTGCGAATGGAAACCCTACTGCGGATTTAATAAAAACTATAGCTGAAGTGCCCGGCGTTGCCTGGGAAATTAAAAAAGACACTTGAAAAAAAATTCGAATTAAATAAAATCGATTTTTTAAAGCCTGTGATACCATCCGAGCACTCATGGGGTTCCTCAAAAAATTTTAGCAAATTCGGTCCAGCCGTTTGGCCAGCTATAGCTAAAATGTAAACAAAAATATATATGAGTGAAACGCTTTATTATATAAATTGATATTATATAAGTTTATTTCTAACTTTTTTCATATTATTTCAAATATTCTGTAAACAGACGAAACTTTATATTTTTTCATTATTAAAAATATCATGTTACATAATCCGTATTGTTGATTTAACCATAAAGATAGATTGATGGATGACTGAAGACAAACATCATCCAAAGGTTGCAAGCTCCAACGCAAAAATCGTCAAAATTTTTGCCAATTCTGTAAAGACTAAAACCAAGTGTTTTCTAGGATTAAAATTTACATGCCCTGGGCTACAAAAAAATGCTGAGGTAAAATCTAAGGCCAAGGATATGGATCTGGATCTGGGTAATTCTTATCTCAGATAACCTTATTTCAAAAAAAATGAAGATAATGATTTGGGTTTGTCGTTCAATCCCATAAATAACAGTTTTAACTTGTTCAAAATATTTAGAGGAACAGGATTTTTTGATACAACTGTTTATTTGACTACTTCTGTTATCAAAATTAACTCTGCTCTTAATGTCTTGAACTACAGAGAGACCTATGAAACTGTGGCATAGGAAGACGACTTTTGGACTCAAGTTATGATTTCAAATTGTAATAAAAACATGAAACACAGCAATATTAGACAGATCCATTTTACTTAATTATTTTAAACTAATAGTGAAACTATTTTTTATTTATTATCCAATGATTACGTGGATATATATATATAATATAACGAGTAGAAGCTCTCCCGACACATTGGTGACAGCTAATTCCAAATTTTTTTTTTAAAAAGGATCATTATTGTACCTTTAAATAAAAGATAAAAAAGAGCTATGTTCTACTTGAAAGAAATGCTATATTCTGAGCTTTCTTTATTTAAAACTGGAACTTTGCGAAGTTATTAGATTTATAAACAATCTGATAGAAATGTGCAATGTACAATCATCGTAACTTTATCTTATTAAAGTCAAAATTAAACCACGGTTCTTCTAACCTTTTAAATATCATACAGTGAATTCCAGATATATGAATATATAGCAAGAGTTATTTATAATGTCGTATTACATATTTAAGATTAAATGTCTCGGATAAATGAGTTTAATATTAATATATCACTTGCATTCATATTCCAGTGGCCGAATTTAAAGAATTTGAGCGGCGGATTAAATTTATGCCGCGGTTTAAATATAGTTGGTTCCACTTAAAATTGTATCAAATGTTTTAAGATTTAAGCCGGCGCTTAATTTAAACCGGGTTTTGTCGGATTTAAACCGCGGCTCAAATTCTTTAAATTCCATCTCTGGGCTATTAATTTACCTTGAATTAAAAAAATGAAAAAGTTTCTTTCTGAAAAACAAAGGAAAAAGAATAACAAAACCTGTCTTAAACAATTTAATATTTGTAAAAACAGCTCAGATAAAGGCCTAAAGGGTACTGTTGAAAATCGGACATGCCAGACTTAAATCGCGGGTAATTAAATTATATCTAAAGCCCTTTTATTAAACGAAAATACAAATATAATAACTTAAAATTTAAAGCATTTGAAAAATTGTAAATTATATAAATCCTGCAATTTATGAAGCAGTTTGAAGCCCATGGCGTTGTATATAAATGGCTGAAGATACTAAAGAACAATTCCTATTCAATCCTCGGTAGTTTAACCGACTTATATACCCAGTCTTTTCTTCCAGGATCTTTTCACAAAAATTGTCTGAGAGGTCCCCCTCTCTTCAAATTCATCCGTTAACTTGCAAAATTGCAAAAATAATTGTGGAAATTTGCACAGAATTCTAATATTTTCATCATTTGAGTTTTATTTTATTTTAGCTCAACATTTTACGGGATATTTTAAACCGGGGAGATTATTATTTCATTTTGTCAAACAGATGGAAACTTTTGAATGAATGTAACTGGTTTAAGTCGAATCAAGTGAGTTAAGGATAAACTTCTTGTAAAGAAAGAATGACTTAAACTCATTTGAATTGACTTAAATGAGTTATGCAGGATACAAACAGTAAAATGGGTATTTTGCACAAGAATTAAGTATTAAGTACACATTTTTAAAATACATATTCTTTTAAAGCTTCAATATATATAGATTTTTCTCTTTAAAATTTTATGATTTTTGAAAGCTAGACTTTTAATTTGTTTTTAATTAATTGTAATAAAAGTTCTGTGGTTCAGTATTCAGGAATTAAGACCTATAGAGCTTTCATATTATGCAGTGTTAAAGGTTTGAAGGAACTGGTTCCATTATTTTAAAGTGTTTGTGATAAAAACCATTTACCTATTTCATTTTTGAGAAAAAATGACAAAACTATGAAGGGTCCCATGAAACTTTGTTCTAAGTCCCTTTAAAGAGTATATCTGGTGATTTTATATTAAATATTCCTTGTTATATCCTCGTGAGATGATTTAGAGCAGAAAATATCCTTGATCAGCACTAACCATATTTATAACAGGGAACGCTAACGATAAACATCGTTTCTTTTTTTGGGACTTTTTAAGGCTCCATACACTGTAATTTCGGTTTTTTTTGAAGTATCTGACCAACGTGTAGGCCGGTAAAGCAAGTATATGTTAGTAGGCACGTACACAAATATAATGAAGATGACTTTTGATTTCACTCTTATTTGTTGTCAAGCTATTAAACAGTATAAATGCAAAAAATGGAAAGAAAAAGAAGCTGTCAATGAAAAAGCTTCTCTTTAATTACTTGTAAACTTAAAATTCGAAAAAAGCTTGTTAACAATTAAAATTTCAATAAAAAGCCGTCTTTATTATATTGATATTATCGCCTACCATTGTAGTACAGTACACATACATACAGACTATAGAGAGTACAGTATTGTTGAGAAATATTGTTTTAAATTATTTGAGCGCTTTATGATTGTATTGTATGGTATATACTATATAACTGCAAAGTTAGAGCGCAAAAACGATCTTTGAAATCCATCTTGCGCTCGCCCCAGACAGGTTGTGAGGCGTGCTGACCATTTAAGAAACATTTTTTGTAAAGTAAAAAATCTTAAATTAAAAAAACGATGCCCCTCCCTAGAGTAGACGGTATATGTATTTTAAGGAGGACAATATATTGTTCACTGGTCGACATTGTTCTCCAATATATGCTTTAATATTTATAGAATCAAGCACTTGTACAGAGGGATTCAACAAATATTTGAAAATGGAGTTTTTCTTCGCGTCTTTTTTTGTATGCTAATCTTACTCTTTTCTATTATAAAAGATATCTCAGAAGTCTCATCACTAAAATATTCGACTCACTCAACTTACACATTTTCAAGGTACTAATGCAAGGAAAGTTATTTCAGAGGGGTGCGCATTATTTTTACTGCAGTGTACTGTCTTTGGGCGGAAAAGTAAACACAAGACGGATGTCAGAGACTGACATGGAATCCATTTTCACAAAAAAAGTCATATGAAATATTCTGGTTGTAACAAATCCAGGAGCAGCTGTATATTCGTCTATCTATCGTAATCTATGATTTTAGTTTTGTAACCTGACCGGCCCGACCGGTCTTCATATTTACCTGTTATCAATAAATTAGTTCAACATCAATCGTTGTTCAGTACGGACAGTGTTAGCCTGGGTAGGCTGTTAGTTTTATATAGTGGCTGGTTAGCTGATAGGACAGTCAGGATTGGCTGAATTAGAGTTTGAGACAAGTAGTAACTAAGTTTATCAGGCTAGATCGTTACATGGTCATAGGAAACTATTATGTGAATTTTCAAAATTATCAAATTTAAATGCTTTTAACCTCCACGGATACTAAATGAACACTGATGCACCTATTCAGTTGTTTACAAATTCCGCTCAGAGAGAACTGGTTTCAATATGTACGCAGAGTATACACGACCGCAATTAACTTTCCTTGCATTAGTACCTTGGACATTTCAAACCACACTAATACCATTCTCCTGGACCTAGTTCCTCAATCAGAATCAAGGGGCTTTTGGACATACACACAAACAAACAGAGATTACTACATTAAAAATATATAATTTAATGAAGTGCTTGTACTTGAGTAGATTCCTTTCTGGAGCACTATTAATTTATAACTTAAAGTCTTCCCACCTTTTGAGTATTCTTTTATCCAGATTCACTCTTTCTACAGCATATCTAAAATAGACAAAATTTTGATAAGTGAAATAAAAAAATATGAAAAAATATAAACTAAAGCTTGCAAGAGCTTCATAATGCCGGAAAAAAGAATCAAAAAAATTCAGAATTGACATCATTGATTTCATATCAATGTAAAAAAACTAGGATAGAATTTTTTTGTAAAAAAACTTTTAAAAGTAAAAATGATGATTCATATTTGAACCTGAACGCAGTCTCTTGATGCTCCTCACCCCACAAAGTCTCCTTCATGTCGAAAAGGCCACCTAAATATTTCAGAAACATTAATTTCATAAAATTAGTTAGAAGTTAGTTAAAAGTTAGATATGAGATGATCCTGCATGAGCTGGATTAAAAAAGGCAATCATTCAGTGATGCATGATCCGAAGGTTTCAATCTCTCGTTTAAAACGTTATCAGAATTTTGCCAATTACTTTTTAAAGAGATTGTAAGCGCAATTTCACGTGAACCTCCAATCTCCATGTCAAGATGGCAATGCCCGATTCACAACGGTACTCCTAAAAGCTTAGTCTGATCAAGTATGAATTATAGATATCAATGTTTGTAATTTTGAAAACTGATCATTTTCTCTACAAAAGTTGCTTGAGCATTTCTAGAGCAAGAACACATGTAAGGATTATCAGAGTTAAATACTTATTAACCTAGAGAAAACGACTATATTATATCACATTATAGATAAGATCAAGGTTTCAAGAGTATCGCTGGGAATCAGGCAATGCCATCTTTGCATGGAGGGTCACTTAAAACTACGCTATCAGTCCCATTATGGTTATAAAATGTGCATATGTCATAATTATAAAACTATCCAAAAGTGTAGTTGTGAGGTAAAATCATAAGCCAAGACGTTGCAATACTTCAAAGTCGATCTAGCCCTAAAAACAACTTTTCACAGTATTCTGGATACATGTGATCTCCGTGGAAACCTGGCCCTTGTCATAGAATCAAAAGTAAGATTAAACAAAAATGGTAAATGGGTTTCAAATGAGCTATCTTAGGATTGGTGATAAATATACATCCCTGCTGTTTACCTTGGTCCCGGAAAAAGCAGAGCTTGTCTGAAAATCTCCTTGAAGACATATTAGATGGGATTTATTTGTACAAAAAGTTGAATTTATACAAAACCATGGAATGAAGAGAAATTCAGTTTATTCTTCGCTAACTATTACTCCTACACGTATATAATTTTCCTTTCATCCTCTTACGGAGAGGGGGGGGGGTCATTAATTAATCTGTGCTGTCCCGTTTTGCTATCAAATCAGAGAATAAGAATAAAGGGAAGGGAAATGGCGCTGGTTTGGCATGAGAAAGCCAGTCGCACTGCTTTGCAGACGAGTTCGTTATCACACACGCACGCTCTTTTGGTACAGACACACAACATGACTACAGTCAAGGAAATTGCAGAACAATGTCATCAATTATAATTAAGTTTGAATAAAGAGTAGTGTATTGTAAACTTTAATCAAATTATATTCTTTGCATGTAAATTTGGCTTATTATAGTGTTGACTCAAATATATAAATAATACATTACATGAATATTAAACTTATTTTTAAGTAAACAATTAACAATAAACAAATGTACTCTCCTAGATTGTGCAAATACCGAGATTCTTATGTACTGTATACACTCAATATACCTACAGTACACGCCTTCGGTTCGTTATCACTTACACACAATCTTTTAATACAGACACACATAAGTGACGTATACTCCCCCTGAGTCGTATACTGGTCTACTTGCGCTAGCTGCCTAAAAGTCGATACGGTACTTTAAATGACCCAGAGTTCTTAATGGGAGGGGGAGGGGGTAGATTTGAAATTTACTAAACACTTGGTTAAAAGGATTAAGTGCAAAACGGTTTACAGGCTATTGGAGTGATAAGAAAATTCCAGAGAAGATTCAAGAAAATAAAAAATATAAAAAAGGAACTCGAGACAACGTATAATCAGATAGAAAGAATTGTACCACAAATTTCATAAAAAGAGTTCTAACTATTAATTTTAAATCTGACCCTGCTTTTAAAAAAGCATAATAGGTCCAACATGAGGATAAGGAGGAGGGGCGGGGGGTTTCTTTACAGTTCTCAGTCTTTTTAGGAATTCTCAATTTACTTTTATAGCATACAAGCAGTCTACGTAAACTTGTTACCAAAAATGTCACCAACTAACAAGACCGAATTGATTATAAAGTTCTGTCACTCATTTTTAGTCTTGGATATGAGAATTTTGAATCTGCAAGACAACGGGCTTGTTTCTTCAATTAAAAAGGAGATATATCTGAAAAATCCTGATTATAGATTTATGATTGATTAGAAGAGTTTTACCTATTTTTATAATTTCGGGAAGGGATGATACAGATTTCATCAGGAGGAGAAGGAAAAGCATTAACATGATGAGACCTAGGAAACTAGTTTTTCAGTGTCTCCTGTATGCCGAGTCCATTAGCGCCTGATCCAATCAGGGTTCAGTCATGTGTTTGTTGTCTATTCTGAACCAATAGAAATAGTATGGCGGTGACATATATCTTTCTATCTATCTCATTATCCAATTAGAGTTCTCAATCCTTTCATCGGCGCTATCAGTAAGTGGACATATTTACTTCTATTGAAACTATAGTGGTACTGGAAGACAAACATTTTTCCCAAGAAATCAATTCAACATTTGTCCCAAGAAATCAATTCCAACATTTGTCCCAAGAAATCAATTCAACATTTGTCCCAAGAAATCAATTCAACATTTGTCCCAGGAAATCAATTCAACATTTGTCACAAGAAATCAATTCAACATTTGTCCCAAGAAATCAATTCAACATTTGTCCCAGGAAATCAATTCAACATTTGTCACAAGAAATCAATTTAACATTTGTCTCAAGAAATCAATTCAACATTTGTCTCAGAAATCAATTCAATATTTGTCCCAATAAATCAATTCAACATTTGTCCAAATAAATCAATTCAACATTTGTCACAAGAAATCAATTCAACATTTTAAATTTTTTGTAATCAAAAACTTTTTTACCTCTCGTTTGTGTTTTAACTGAAAATATTCAGTTTAAATCTCGCATCTTCTTATTTCTACTTGTTAGCTAAATATTTATTACATTTTTTCTAAAAAAAAACAATAAAATTATTTTGAGATCTATACTTTCGTTTTAAATAATTTCTTAACTAGTTCAATAGATTTTCTTTTAATTAAAGAACTTAATTCGACTTTTTAAAAATTCTCAAAATTATTTTCAATTAATTATTTAAATTTTCTTCATTTGTTGCTTTGTCCGATTTTATAAAAATTTTCTGGAATTATATATTTTAATATTTACACAATTTTTTTAAGGGACTGTAAATGAAAAATGAAAAGGGGTATAGGATGAAACCTGAGAATCTCAGGCGTTAAACGATATATATAAAACATCTATCTTATGTTCCTGTCTCGAGAAATTGATATAAAACTGTGTGAAATTTATACGGAAATTCATATTTATATGCAATTTTGTATGAAAGTAGTAGGTTTAAACAGATCATATTCAACAAATATGAAACCAATCTGAAAACTACGATATCCCACAAGAGCCTGAGAATCTCAGGTTTGCTCCTATTATAATCATTTAATATTTATTTTGCATTTTTAATAGATATAATTGATAATATTATTACATATGGTCCGTATAGTTCGTATTACGTCACCAGAACTTCAGCCAATGGCAGTGCAGTATGCTAGTCACGTGATAACCGTAAGGGGGGTAAAGGGGGGAGGGGGTAAGGAGGGGGGATTTTATCGGATCAGAAAAGGATAATACAGTGAGTATTGATTATAGTGTTTGAGATAGAAAAGATGGAATTTCTAAAATAAAGATAAGCTACATTACTTCTATGTTAGAAAAGGGGGATGGGGAGATAAAAAATGTGCTAGCTCTAATGCAAAAAAATGCTTTCAGTAGTTTGAAGATCACTTTTAAACTGAAGGTATACAAGATTTCTATATTTCTAAAATATACCTACATGTGTCTACTGTCTATAGGACTAAAGACATTTCTAAGTGACTTAGAAAAAGCAAAAGGCATTGCAGCACTTCATGGCTTTTTAAATAAAAAGTGGAAAAAGATGTATTTTTCTTTATTTAATAATATTCTTTGAATGTGGTTCAGTTAGAATTTCTAGATTAGCCCCCCTTGAAGTATTTAGTTCCCGGACCTTGGCAAATGAGGATAATCAAATTATATCTTCCTGGATATTCAAACATTATATCTTCCTGGATATTCAAACATTATATCTTCCTGGATATTCAAACATTATATCTTCCTGGATATTAAAACATTATATCTTCCTGGATATTCAAACATTAAGAAATAGTATAAACCTCAACTATTGAGACCGGGTAAACCTTTAAAGGTTCGTCACGAACTTATGGTTTGACCAACCCAATTTCTGCAGCTCTGGTTGAGAAGATTTCAAAGCTTTTTTCTAGTTTTAACTTTCAAACATTAGAGAGTTCTAGGTTTACAATAATCTTAGTGATAAAGATTCGTCACGATCTTATGGTTTGACTGTACCAACTCAATTTCTGCAGCTCTGGTTGAGAAGATTTCAAAGCTTTATTCTAGTTTTAACTTTCAAATATTAGAGAGTTCTAGGTTTACAATAATCTTAGTGATACTGAATATTTCAATTGCTCTAACTAAAATTAGCTTTGATTAAATTTTACTTCTAAATATTTCATGACTAAAAATTTCCATTTTATTTAAAGTATCGGACCGAGGTTTAGGCAGCTAGAGCAAGTTGTTTACTTACAGTACATATACAGTCTAGAGACGGCAAAACGCGACAGTACGACAAATCAACATCTTCTTCTAGTGAGCTTATTTATTTATTGATTATTAATTTACAATTTTATGAGAATTTTTTTAAGTTTATGATTTTTAAAATGCAAAAATATTATTGAAGTCTTAATATTTGATACTAAGCTTCCTAGCCGCTTCGCGCCCATTTCCTGGAATAAAAATGTGGCTTCAATCTACCATTTTCTCTGTAAATCTTGTAAACCCTGTTTAGAGTTCAATTTTTTTAAATTCTAAAAAAACCTCATTTATTTAAAAAACTGAAAGTGAGGCTTGAGGGGGAGATTATGTGTACACAGATCACCAATAAACCAGTTTCTAACATCACACTCGGCAAACTTTCCAAACAATAAACAACAAAAATTTATAGAAATATTCAAACAAGAGAATTTGGATTCCGGGTAGAAATCTTATGGAGTACTATCGAAGACCACCAAAGCCAGGCATGGGACGTAGCTTTGCGGAGGGGGGGATAGATAAAACTCACAAATTGATTATGTGTGCCGCAGCGCCGGCCCCCTAACCTGTCCTAGCCGCGGCACTCGGCCCCCTAGCCTGTGCTAGCCGCAGCGCTCGGCCCCCTAGCCCATCCTAGCCGCAGCGCTCAGCCCAGAAATTGTCTTAACCTAACCTAACCCCCTCCGCAAAGCTACGTCCCATGGTCCAAAGCCAGCTCATCGGCGGCTCTCCTAAGAAGTTCATCAGAGACTCATAGGATTTTCATTGGAGCCCACATAATTCCATTGGAGAACCAAAAGCTTTTCCTCGGAGACCCCCATATTTTCATTGGAGACCCCAAGCTTTTCATCGCAGACCACCAGATTTTTATTGGACGCTCCAAGATTTCATTATAGATACCCCAAGCATTCCGCTTGAGACCCCCCAATATTTTTATTTGAGACCCCTTGATGCTCTGTCTCCGATGGGTAAATTTTGCGCCATTAAGTATTTTGCGTCAGAATAATCAGGATGTCAAAAACCATGACGCTCACCGCCCTCAGAGTCCGAAAGTTCAGTCAGGATATTTCCGATTGTGAAAAGTAAAAAGTGTCGAAAAAAAATCTTAAAACCGCGTTTTTTGTGCAAACACTGGATATTCGCTCACTTGAGAAAACCTCTTCGAGTAGTTAGATAGGCTTAGTTGTGAATCTAAATAAAAAAATTTGTCCATTATGTGTATTTCCAAATATGGAAACATTCACTTAAAATAAAATGTTGAAATCTTGAAAACCTAGCCGTCTGTCTGTTTAATCTTGAAAACCTAGCCGTCTGTCTGTTTAATCTTGAAAACCTAGCCGTCTGTCTCTTTAATCTTGAAAACCTAGCCGTCTGTCTCTTTAATCTTGAAAACCTAGCCGTCTGTCTCTTTAATCTTGAAAACCTAGCCGTCTGTCTCTTTAATCTTGAAAACCTAGCCGTCTGTCTCTTTAATCTTGAAAACCTAGCCGTCTGTCTCTTTAATCTTGAAAACCTAGCCGTCTGTCTCTTTAATCTTGAAAACCTAGCCGTCTGTCTCTTTAATCTTGAAAACCTAGCCGTCTGTCTCTTTAATCTTGAAAACCTAGCCGTCTGTCTCTTTAATCTTGAAAACCTAGCCGTCTGTCTCTTNGAACCTTTGCTGCACCTTGGTTCAAAGTTCCATACCAAGTTCCAAGTTCTTTCAACCTAAAACTTTTGTTTACATAAAACAGATGATTTTCTTTTTTTTTAAAGAGAAATGTGAAAATAAAAGCACAACCGTGAACTTAGAGGATCTTTCAATTGTGCAAAGCCAAAAGTGCGTATTTTTGAAAATTACTAATGTAAAACGAAAAGGGCTTTGGCATTAGATTTTTTCTTTTCTCATTGATTCTTTTACACGTATATATTATCAAAAAATGTAAATTTAGCGGGGTGTAGAGTTGTTATGTGTCGATTTCTAAAATTAAACAAAAACGCAATTTTTTGATATTCTGACGTTTAATTTTCTCTTTAAACAAATTTATTGAAATTGTACTTTTGCTATATTTTTTGTTGGAAGAGAAGGTTTTTCCTTGTTTGATTTTCATCTGTATAAAATCTAATTTTCAAAGTGCAAATACGAATCCATGGTACATAAATGTTCAAGTTTGAAGCTATAAACCAGTTTATTTACTACAAGATAAACCTCAAAACATTTCGATGCTTCAACAATCTATTCTTTGCTTTGGCACGGAGTTAGACAAAAGAATAAAGTTTGCTAAAAATATTATCAACTTTTTTAACAGGGTCATCAGAACAGTAATTAAGAGCGGGGTTTAAAGTAAATCTATGTGTTAGAACATTTTTTAAAGTATAATCTATTGTTTTTGTTAAATGTCTCAAGATCAATTTACACTATAATCTATTTATATGTTTAGATTATCCCGAAACCCCTGTGCTTTCTTGTGCTTTTGCTATAAAATTATGTTTTTCTTCCGAAATACTTGCTTTAACTAAGACGACATCTAAATATATTGAGGGATTACAGGATCCATTCAAGGATAAATATATGAACGGGAAAATTAATTATAAATCTAAATCATTATAAATCAATGCTAGCTACAATTCATACAAAGTATGTAAATAAAAAGATTATCAGAATATATTTATTTTGTCCATTCTCAATGAAACACAAGACAAATGCATTTTAGGAGGAGTATTGTGACAAAAACCAGTCACCCCCTCCCCCCCATGACACCCTAAAATACCCCTCTGTGGGGGGGGGGGATAAACCCAACATCTCTTAGACTTTTTAGGATAAATTGCCTAATAACAGCTGTATTGTGTGAAGCTTTAAACAATGTTATCAAGTTTAATTATCGGCAAACCTTTTTTAATAGCTAATTGTATTCTTTGGGAAATTATTTGTAAATATTGGTTTATTGGTATAGAGGTAAAGATAAGCGTTCTCTTGTGTATACACTGTACAGAATTCCAAACCCCGCTTAAAGGGACTGTAAGCGTAATTTCAAGTGATCCTCCAGGAAAAGATGACAATGTCTGATTCACAACAGTACCCTTTAGAAAAGCAAGTGTTTTTTAAAGAGAAAACCCAACTAAAAATAATCTATTTTCAATTTTAGACATTGATATCTAATTCAAACTTGGTCAGACAAACCTTTAAAGGGTATAGTTGTTAATCGGTCATTTATTGTCAGTATACAGTGTTCATAATACAGAATATGTTATGCTATTAAAGGAATTTTTTAAAATGTTTATCAAAAACATATTTATGAAAACAAACTAAGAATATTATCATAA